AAAGTTTACCTATTTTACTTATTTTATAAAAAGGACTCTTTTAATGGTAAAATATAATAGGGCTTAATAATTAATTACTATAAAGAACTTTATATTTAATAGCTTTAAATAATTATACTTTATAATTTAAACTATAATTAATAGTTCTTTATTTTATATAAAATAAGCTTACTTAATTGGTAATATAATTTTTAAGAAATATTTTATAAGCTTTTAAGTGCTATCTTTTTATTATTATTAAATAGCTTTATTAATAATATTCCGGAAAGCGTTAGTTTTAATTCTAATAGGTTAATTAAACTAAAAGAAGGTTAATATTAATACTTTATAAGTTAACTTCTTTATTAATTTAAAGGCTTTTTATTATTTATTACCCATTTTAAATAATGTACCCTTTTTAAGTAAATAGTTTAAAGGTTTAGCTATATTATTAATATAGTATATAAATATCCGGATAAAGTTATATAGCTTAAAGAACAAACGGATAATTTAAGTATTAATTAAGTTTTTAAATTTTTAATTTATAATAGTATTTATTTTTTTAAGGTTTATTTAGATATTTTATTTAGCCTTTAGGATTATATTTAAATAATTTATAAAGGTTACATTAAAGTAAGATTTTTTTATATTTCCTTAAAGCTTAACGTTATAAAAGTAATATATTACTTTTTTATATTATTCCTAATATTCTTTTTTATTATTTATAAATATTAAGATATTATTAATATAAGTGTTAATAAAAAGGTTAAATAGTTTATATAGTTAGGAATTGATGAAGTTTTACTATTAAGTGGGCCCAATCTTTAGTTTAAAGGGTAGGATTAACTATTGGAACATTTTTTATTAAGTCTAAAAAGCTATTAAATGTTAGGATTTTAAGGTTATCCTTTATTTATAAAAAGCTTTAATAATATTTAACTTAATATAATGTTTAACCTTTTAACTATTATATATAATATTATTTAAATCTAACGTTAAAATAATATAATCTTTTAAGTATTTATTTTTTTATAAGTAATTTATATAAAACTATCTTTTAATTAAATTTAATTTAAAGGTAAAAAGGATAAGGAAAGTATTTATTTTTATATAAGGTTTAATAAAGCTATAAATTAATAGTTTATTTATTACTTCTTTTTTTAATAATAGGTATTAAATCGGAGTTTAATATTAAGGGGGGCTATTTAAGGGGTTATTAATAATAGTTTTAAGGACTATATTATATTTTAATTATAATAAAAGTAATTTATTAGCTTTTACTTTTAAGAATAATCCTTTTAAATAGGCTAGTTCTTTAAGGATTAAATAATAAATTAGCTTAATATATTTAGGGTTTTTGTTTTATAGAAAGGAAATATACTTATTATTAAAAGTTTTTTAAGTTTTTTTTAATATTATTACGGCTACCTTTAAGGCCGCTTTAATAAATTTAATAGGTATTAACTCCTTTAAAAGTACCCTTTTTTTTTATTATTTTTATTTAAGGTTTAATTTAGTCTTTTTAATAAGTTATTAAATAATCCTTTTATTTTAAGATTGCTTTATCTTTAGGCTTTCCGGTTGGATGTTTTTTTGGAGGTATATAGCTAGCTGCTTTAAAATAGTATATTTCTTTTTTAAAGCAGCATTTTTCCGGTTAGTGTTCTATTGGATAACAGGGTTAATTTATTAATTATTAGGAAATTTCTATATAATCTTAATTGTAGGTGAAAATAGGATAAGGGGAAATAAATCTTTTAATTAATATAATATTTAATAGGTATAGTTTAAAATAACCTTATTTTTAGCTAATTATTTTAAATTAATTATAATATTATATTTAATATTAATAATTTAAAAGGTTTAATCCTTAAACCTTTATCCGTTTACTTTTAAAGTAATAATAAGGTATTAATTAACTATATTAATAAATTATCCTTAATAATTATTTAATTGTTATAGTTATTTTAAAGTGGTTAACTTAACCTTTAGTTAATAGTTAACGTGGTAAGCTAATTTATAGCTAATTATTAAATGCATTTAAGCTTTAATGTTATATAATATAGTAGCTTTTATTTTAAAATTATTTATTTATATTTAAATGGGGTATATAAATTAAATAGTATTTTAATTATTTTTTATATAGGTTAAGGATAGTTTATAAATTGTTAAGGAGTTTTTTAATAGTTTAGTTAATTTTTTAATTTAGATTTAATAAAAGAGGAATTAGTAGGCTTTTTTTTACTTTTTTTATTTTATATTTAAATTATATTTTTATTTTTTTTAGGGTAATTTATAATGTAATGTTTTATTTTACTATAGTTAAAATAGGTATTATTTTTTTAATAGGTCTTTTTCTTTTCCTTTAAAAGCTTTATCCCTTTAAGCTTTATTGTAGTATTCCCTTTATTTATATTTTTTTTATTATTAAAGTTATGGTTAGCGGAGCTAGTAGCTTATCTTTTCTTTTAGCAATTATAGTGGTAATTATAGTTATATATTACCTTTGCTACTTTATTATAAAAGTATTTATATAGTATTAATGGATTAGTATTAGCTTTAAATACCTTAGTTCCAAGGTTAAGGCTAATATATTTTTATAAGAATTAAAACCATTTAAATTTAAGTAACTTTAACTTTAATGCTAGGTTATTAAATTAAGAAATAAATTAATAAATGTTAAAACTTAGTTTAAAGTAAAACTTATTTAAAGCATTTTATACTTAAGCAGCTTAATTTAGGTTATAATAAGCTATTTTTAACGTTTATACTATTTTAGCTAAATTATTATATAGTTAAATAATAAAATAGAAGTAAATTTTAATTACTTTTTTAATATTTTCCTTTAAGAAGGATATAATATAATATATTTAGCTTTTTTTAATATAGTATATTATTACGTCTTTTTTAAGTTTATTAGTTAGCTTTTTTAACTAATTGTTAAATAAGTTTTTATTTTTAAAAAAGGTGCCCGGATTAGTTTTATAAGTTTTAACCTTTTTTATATATTTTAAGTTTAGGTTAATAAGGTTACCTATAGGGCTAATTGTTTTAAAGATAGTTTATATAGCTATATTAATTAGCTTAAAGTTAACTTTACCGAAGGCACTTTTAACTATACTTTTTTATAGCGTTAGGGTTAGGCTACCTTTTTCCATTTAGGCTTAGAAGGCGGTAATTTATTCTTATAATTATTGGATTAGGGTAGCTTAATCGGCAGCGCTTATTTTATTTGCTGGTTAGGGTAGTTTTATTAGTCCTTTATTTAAACTAAGGTTTAATAGTAGAAGCGTTATATTTTCCGGTTTAGGGTTTAAGAAGTTTTAAAAGTTATTTTTAAATTTAATATTAATTTCTTCTTCCTTAATAGAAAGGATAGGGTTTTAGGTCGATTGTTTATTAGCTATAGGAATGTTAAGTGCTATATATAATAATAATTATTAGGATTATTTTAGGTTATTTATTTTGATTAGGGTCTTTTTAGTTTTAGGAGGTATAGGGTCTGATTTTATTAATTGGGTTTATTATAAGGTTGTATTCGTTTATCGTTAGGTATAGGATGTAATAATGGAGGGGGGAAAGGTTTAATTTATAAATCGCAGATAATAACGATTAGATATAGGTAACGTATTTATATAGCATTTATTAACGAGAAGGAGGAGCTTAGAATAGTATTATAATTAGGGGTTTAAGGTATAGCTATATTAATGCTATAAATAAAGATTTTAAGCTAAGGAAAAAAGGAAGGAAAGATAAAACTAAAATATAAGCGTATATAGAGATATATGTGTACCAATAGCTATTGTGGGTTATATGACCTTATTGGCACGTATTTTGCATATCTTTATAGTATCCTTCTATAGTGTGCACAGTGTTCCGGTACAGTATATGTCTGATACGTTCGTCACATTATTTATTTAAAAAATATAATACATCTCCCACTTAACCTGGCCACCCAATTAACCTAGCCACCCCACCAGCCCATATAAAAAACGTCGGTGCGCTAATCACGTAATAATTGAATAACTTTACGGATATTGGTCGTATAAAATGATAAAATATACCATTAGATTCGTAATAAGAAGGGCTATCCAACGGTACTCTCCATTAATTTATACGACTTATATTCGTGGAGTTATTAAGCAATACGCTAAAGTAAGCGCTAAAATAATCCTTACCTAGCAGCCTTTTAGCGTATTGCTTAATATCTCGCCCAATAAATTTTATAAAAAATAGTAAAAAATACCGCTAGATTCCTTATTAAATAACGGATCTAATGGTACTAATTATTAAATTATAGGACTAATATTAGTTAAGTTATTCCAAATTAAAACATTGGACTTTTATATAGGTTAAGGGGGTGGCCAGCTCAATTGGGTGGCCAGGTCAAGTGGGAGATGCATTAATTAAAAATTAAAAATAATAAAGGAAATTATAAAATAGGGATAAAATATTAATAAAATATAATTAATATATTAATTTATATAAATTATAATATTTATTATATTAAATATAATAGGTTAAAGAAATATTACCTTTAAATATATATATAAAGTAAAATAATATTATTTTTTTAAATAATATTACCCTTTTTATAATATATATAAAAGTTAATTTAAAAGTAATAAAAATAAAACTTTTTACCTATAAAAATAAATATATATATTAATATAATAATAATAATAATAAATAAATAAAAATAAGAAAAGGTATAAATAAGATATTTAAAAAAAAACCTTTTTTAAAAAATTAAAAATAAAGTTAAACGTTATAATTATAAAAAGGTAATAAAATAAATATAAAAAAGGAAGAAGGAAAAATAAAGAAATATATAAGGTAAATAATTAATTATTATAGTAAAAAATTCTACTATAAGGTTATAGGATATTATTATACTACCTTAAAAAGGAATATAGTTTAAAATAAATAATATAATATATATATTATATAACTATATTATAAATAGATTTAAATTTATATAATTAAGGTTAATTATATTTAAAAGAGGGGAGTATTATTATGGAATTAAAGAAGCTTAATTTCTAATATATAGTATGGATTAAGGAATATTGTATATAACGCTAGGAAAGGGAATAAGGGGCGAAAATTAGAACTTCCCTCTTTGTGCAATAATAGAACAAATACATGAAACCATAGCTGGGCAGTACTGTGACAGGTTCCTTATGGAGAAACTCAATATCGAGATGGCTCAAAGCGAAATAGCGTTAACGGACAGCGCTTCACCTCAGATATTCACCCGATTCATACCACGAGCTAGCTCATCAATCTCATTCGCACGTTGAACGCCCTCCACAGACTGATGATTTGCGCCTCCGACAGGAGACCCGCACTCAGGACATCGAGCCTGCTCCATAGGCATACCGCACTCACCAATCGTGAATGGGTGCCCGTTGACACAGTTATACCAATGTCCCGTTCCTGAAAATTCCCTGGACATGGCTTTGTAGACGGCTCGCATCTCCTCCGCCGACACCTTTGTGTAAAAGACCGCATCACGCAGCATCTTCTCGGCCCCTTCTACATCGGGTTCGAGCACATGAGTGGAAGGATACTTGTTTAGAAGTTCCTTTGCCGTAGTAATGTGAGTCGTAGCTTGTGATTTCAACTGCTCGCGAATGTCGGAGGTAGTGCCGTCCGAGGCTGAGTCCCCTGCCGGCTCGGGGGGCTCGGGTGCAAGGGTGCGTGCAAACGCGCAGAACTTGGCGAAGTAAATGTGACCTTCGACCTGTTCGCGAGGGTAATGGGCTAACTTAGCCATGCCAATCAAATTCTCGCATTCTTTCAGTTGTTGTGATAGATTCAGGTTGATCTCTGGCCGGAGGGGAATGAGTGGTAGGCGAACCGTCATGAAGTCGGTGAAGACGGCGATTTCGCATTTCAGTAGCAACCCTATAGCCTGCAGCACTCCTTTTACCTGAAGCGCAGACTCATCAAAGGTGAAGGCACTGGTGGTTCGTCGTTGTTTTATAGCGTGCTGGACATGATTTGCAACGCGCTGTAGAGGTTGTTCTTCTCTACGGACTTGGCGGATGAATCCGCTGATATGAGTCCATAACCGTACCGCGTCTTTGTATCTGGAATGGCCGACCCAACTATTCACAAGTTCCAATTGCTGAAGACGCCCTTTGGAGATGACCAGCTTGGTTGGAGGACCTTGATGTCGTTGTACTGTAGGCGCTGGGGTTTCTGCGAGTGCCATTTGCACATCCACGAGCTGGTCAGCTAACTGCAAGAAGCCACTGTTTGACCAAGTAATGAATTTCTTTGTTGCTTCATCGAGCATGGCACGACGAATGATTTTGCCATATCGGGCGATATTGCGTAAGGAGCCTCGGCAAGAAGGGCATGTTTTCACTTCGTCCATCGAGAACGGTGCAGAACTAGTACACAGCGCGATGGGGCATGAGTCAAGATCAGGAGACATCTCATAATGAGCCTTCAGGTCCATTATGCCATCCATATTGGTCATAGTGAAAAAGTGACCACAGTCGGGGAAGATACATGGGTCTTCGTCGAGGTCAACCTGGTGATACTGTGTGCCCATGATGAAGTCAACAACGCTAGACTTAATGTCATCTGTGCCACAGACTTGACAATACTTCGTATTAGGGCATGATTCGCCGCAGAGTGAGGGGCCTTGGGAGAGGTTAGTCATTGGTAGCATAGGGATCTCCATATCACAAGCATATGGTGTTTAGGTTTGCAGTCGACTTACATTGATGGCCACAAGTGAGAATTTGCTCACATCTTTTAGAGCAGGGAATCCAATCACAAGGCGCCGCACATGGCATCGTGCATTTCTGATGTGGGCAAGATGATGAGCAGTCTTTCTCGGCACAGGGCACACAAGGCTCTTGGCACTGTTTACCACATTTTGAGTGACTGCAGCGCACTTCGCAGGGCCTGGGGCATGGCGGACACTTGTTCTCACCATGGCAAGCCTTCAAACAGGCGTGAGAGCAAGCGGTGTACGCGCGATTGCAAGGTTGTCGACAGGTCTCGTGGTGTTCACCCGCTATGCTCCCATCTTTTCTATCCTTACAACGATGACACTGACTACGACAAGAATGTCCACAAGGTTGGGGGTCGCCGCAGAGGCTTGTACATCTGTAGCTTGCTGAGGTCACGTCGGTATGACAGAAGACGCTGACCGTATGGTTACAGCCAGGCACAGTCTTGGTAACTTGCATTCGACAAATGATAGAGGATGGCTCTTGAACTTGCCAGCAGTAAGCTCTCGTCACCTGGTGCCCACAAGGTAGGGAGGTGCTGGGGTTCTCGATTATTTCTCTGCACTTAGGCTCGCAGGTATCTCCACAATACAGTTTACAGGGGTGATCACAGCCTTGCTTTGGCCGTGGGCATGGCTCCAGACATTTAACAGCATTGTGAAGAACCTGAGAGTGGCATCGATTAATGCAGGCATGCCCACAAGCCAGTCTTCGGTCGCACTGCCGACAACAACCTCCCTCAGGAGCAAATTGAAGAAAGTGATCGGGCGTTGAGGCTTCAATGAGCTGGTCAGGGTGTCGAGGACACTGAAGTTGCAAAGCAGGTCCGATATTGTTCTCATTTCGGAGCATCGAGATAACTTGTGACCACATAGAGACACGTTCGTAAGTATCCGCATTGCCTATTAGATACATCCCGTGCTTGGCCCGCGAGAGGAGCACGTTGATGCGATTGCTAGTACTCAAGAATCCGCAGCGTCGCTCTGGATTGCTTCGGACGAGGGAGATAACAACAACCTTTGCTTCCTCACCCTGGAAGTTGTCAACAGTCGCAAGACGAATGCTTTTCAGTAGCGTTGTCCGAGTGCTTGTACTGGGCGGAAGAACAGGAGAACCCTCATCTTCTTCAACCTTGCTTGCATCCAGCGCCGCTAGGTCTTCAAGATCCCTCTCACCAAAAGATATCTGTAGTAAATTTTGCATTACTCGTCGAAGGCGATGAAGCTGTCCGAGGTAAGGAGTAATAACAGCAATTTCATCCGGGGCATAGGTGCCTTGCCGAACGAGATGCTGAACAAGGGCTACAGTCATCTCGATTTCGAAAGAGTTCGTATGTGATGTAGAGGTAGGATCTTGATTCTGGGCTCGATCTTCTAGAACTGTATGATGAAGCCAGAATAGACGTTTCTTCATACCTATGATCTCGGGATATTTAGAAACCGCCTCACCATCCACTAATGCCGGATATAGGGTGTGTCGAACAAGGTTGGATATGCTAGGGTGCATACGGCGCTGAGTCTGGAGAGTATCACGAGGGAGCTGTTGCTCTTCATCTCGTGACGGACTTACTAAGCGCTCAAATAACGATACATCCAATGAATATTGGACACCACGAGGATTTGCCGAGCTCAGGTCATAGTTCTGAATCTGTGGCCGGAGCTGTAGCTGATCGCCAATAAGGATGCAGTGTTCGATTGATGGAAGTAACGCGGTGAGATTATGCGCTTCTAGCACCTCACCAGCCTCTTCGCCTAATGATAGATGTTAGTGTATTCCATCCGCCTCCTAAGTCACGAATTATTCATTATAATGGACCAAGTAGCTAATGTGCTCAGTATAGGAAGTAGGGCATAGGATAGTCTGATGATTGCCATTCCCGAAATCGGTAACTAACGGGCTAGAATGACAAGCAGGCATCTCAGGGGTCAAGGTATCAAAAGGAAGATATGGATGTGTACTTACACAGCAGTACTTTACATCTTAACCTTCGGAGGAGATTCAGATTTCTGGCCAGGCCAGTGGTTGTAACTCCGACCACATTTGCTGATGATAAGCATCGTAGATCAACCTCTTGATAGATGTGGTCGCGTTTTTCCTTTGTTTTTACATAATCTCGGTGCTCGAAGACAACACTTCGAATGATCTGGTTTCGGATCTGCCTTTGCCAGTAGTGATACAAGTTCTGGCGTTCTGTATGAGTCATGGTCCAAAGGTCTGCTGCGAACAATTGTTCAACTTGGCGCCCAACACGGGTCTCCTTAACGGCTTTGCCATGGCGTAGCCACTTGTCAACGCGTTTATGAGAATTGCGCTGAACTTCCTGAAATCCCTCTTCATCCACCAATTTTCCAAATAAGGCTTCATGGTGTGAAGGGTGATGCTCCGCCAGATATTCTTGAAGGGCTTGTTGGCCAAGACAGTGTTCAAGTTGTAGCAACGAACGCGATGCACTTGAATCGAGCGTCACCAATGCATCCCTCGCTTCCCACAAGGCGGCCTTCTCTGATTTTGTACGTTCGGCGGACCTAGCCACAACTCGGAGATTGACTTTTTCAAGCCGGTCAGACTTTGAGCGCGAGCCAATCCGAACGATTTGCTTTACTCCATCGTCTAGTAGATGTTCAAGCAATTGGTCTAGGGCATGGTTCGTCTAAGATGATGATGTGTTAGATACTAGCGAGGAAGATGATGGAATCACCTGTCTGAGGCTGCTTACATAACAAACACATAGTATCGGACCCAGATCCCCTCGTTCCTTGTTTGCAAGAAGAACCTTGATAATCTTTTCGCCAGTGTAGCTCTTGCCGGTCCCAGGAGGCCCTTGGATCAGTGCGAGACCTCGCAGCAGGCTGTTAATAAGAGCCAAAGACTGGGTTTCGTCTAGTGTCGAGTGTTTCATAAGGGTTCTATGATTCAGATACTGGTCGTGGGAAAGCCTGAGCTTGGTGCCGTCTGTTACCAAACATTCAAGGTCAAAGTAAAAACCGGCTTTTGTGGCGTAGTGCGGAGGTGGAATATCGACCATCCCTGTCTTCTGATTTCCAGGTGCAATTAAGTCGATAAATGGCACATGAGGGACTTTGGACATACGTTGGAGTGCCACGAGAGTGTGCTGAAATGCGGCCAGTAGCACACCAGGGAACTCAACAAGATATTTTGGGTGATTCGGTCCAACATTCCGGTACCAGCGAAGGGCCTGCTGAATGTTATTGTCTTTGAGCTCCGCAATGTTGAGATGAACAAATGAAAACTCGTTATCTTCTGCTAGGGAAAGCTTTTGCTGATCTGATGTCTCTTGCGTAGTATCATTAACTCGACGCCCGTTCAATTTCTGGTCGGAGGTTATGATGGTAGTTTCGGCGACAACGCAGAACAGAACTGAGCCATCGCCGCTGATCACACATACAAGTGCACCCGGCTGTAGTCGTTTGGATTGTGTCCACCATTCCTGACGTTTCTGATAGGTGGCACCTCTTGGTTGTGGAAAACGCACTGACAAATCCAGGCCGCTTAATTGGTCAAAGGAAGCATCAACAATCTCCGCGCCTGGATACATGTACGTAAATAAGCTTCGTCGCTCATCGCCTTTCAACTTCTGATTGGGATGTCGCATTATCTCTAGCACGCCACGTACTGCATCCCGCAACTGGCCTACCGTGTCTTCTCGCAATAGTCGAAACTCTCGATCAAGGCGCCCAACAATACCAGGAAGGTGAAACGACGAAGGGTCGTTGGTCGGTAGGTACTCTGCTCTGGTCGAGACAACTTCATCATTGGTGGGAAGGATACTGATATCTGTGATCCTAGCATGGTCATTGTCATGACGAGCACCTGCTGCACAAAGGCGACCAGGAAAATCCTTGGGTAGAGTGAACTTGGCGCGTGATTCAGAGGTTTGGGGCGTGTGGGATTGGAATGATGGCAGCTTATCCCCAACTCCAAGGCGGGAATGGATATAGCCAATCCATTTCTTCGACTGCATCATGGAATACTGGTCAGACGTGACTTCCAAGCCCTTCAATGACGACTCCATCTCCTCGGACACCACCTTGAAATACTCATCTATGATATTGTTCGTATTGCAGTCAACCATCTTGCAGAGAACTGCTAGACAAGTCTCAATAATGACTGGTTTTGAAGTAGGTGAGGTATTGCTGGTTGAGATGCTTGTGAGAGCACTTGATTTAACAAGATCAATGACAAAATTGAACACAATTCTCATTCGCTTGCCACCAATGCCTTGTATAAAGTTGTAGATAGTAGCCACTTGCTGCTCAAGCACTGCAGAATCGACCACGCGATGGTGTGTGATGATAGTAAAAAGGGGTTGCAACAGCTTAAACCAAACATCTTGTTTTGCATAGCCAGCGGTAGCAATGGCAAGGTGGTTCTCAATAAGCAAGCGAATGTACGCAAGACCATCCTCACTGGCAAGAAGTTTGATGGTTTCCTGAGAGGCACCTAGATCCCCGTCAATGAGCTTGACAGCTAGCTCGAAGAAGCGATCACATGTACTGCGGTTAGGAGAGAAGCGTCCTTGGCGAAGAAGCCGTTTCCATTCTCTGAGATCATCTTCGTCTTTTCTGCTTGAACTCCGCATCTGCGATGGAGCTGACGGACCCCCATGCTGACCTGCTGCCGAACTGCTCAGGTCATGAGAGAACTTGCAGCGAGCGCCAAAAGTGCACCGGTTTCTCTTGAACTGAAAGCAAGGTTGCTTTGCGGGGCGGGGGTTACTCATCTTGCTTAGCCTCGAGAATTCAAAGTCTGGGTGTATTATTGAGGAAGTCAAAATCTGGCGTATAATATTGATCTCGCAAAGAAAAATCTAACCGCCAAAGTTGTTGTTAGGTGTATCGAGGCAAAGCAAAAGGTAGATGTTGTCAACAGAAAGACGCGTGCTCGCAGATGCGAAGTCTGCGGGGTCAGTGTTACACAGAGCTGCAAGGCAACCGTAAGGCTGCGAGACAACGAAGGAGGTCTTCAAGATAAAGCGGCGGTCTGCCTGTAAAAAGGGTAGAGAAAAAAAACCAAAACTTATGGGCTTGTCTGTATCGCGTGTCTGACGTAGTCTAAGTTGCTCAGGTCCTCCAAATGAAAGTCCCAGATCAAAGAGGCATGACAACGTGGCAAACATAAAGTCGCTGAGGAAACAAAGACAACAAGAGGTATATCTAGCTGGAGATAGGTGCCACGCACCACTGCATTAGCTGCATGCCAAACGTGAGACCAACAAGCGCGTCCTTAAAATGATAAAGGAAAGATGTAGCTGGCTGGAGCAAACCATGCATTGATCTCATGATTTGTCACATGCGAATGTGCATGTGGGTTCAGTTATGCAAACACATAATCCGGAAGCGTGAATGAAATTGATTCCAGCAATACATTACTCCAGCAACGGCTTCAATCCAAACCCTCACATACACCCCTCATTCCCCTTCGGAGATAAGGGGTAACTCGACGCAGTGAAGGTAAAGATGACGGCTGTAGCATCCGAGCCTATCAAACACCATAGAGATTATCGGGGAACCGAAACGTTATTGGCGCAAATAGAATATGCAGACGGCCATCTGATAAATGGGATGCTGTTCCGTGTGCACAAAGAACCGTGGTAGCTAGATCGCCTTGGGTGAGACTAACTTACTTTCTTCTCAAATTCATTTTCTGAAACAGCTGGACAATCTCTCATTGTAGCTGAAAAAGGCTCGACTGGTGAGCAAACAGCTCAACAAGTGAAGTGAGATGCAGGAGCCCAAGTTCCAGTCTCGGGCTGCAGCGCCAACCTTTCATATATGCGCTTGCCCGTTGCAATGCAAACGGGTATGCTAACTTTCAGTCAGGAAAGCCTATCTCCAACATACTGCAATCGTTACCCAATGACCCTAGGATACGTTGTATCAGGTTCTTTTCGGCGCTAGTTGCGGCCGACAGACGTAGCAAAATGCGACAAATGAAATACGACGAATAAGACCTGACGAGTCATAGCAGATGGTTTCTTGAAAATTACAGTAGTTGAGAATGCCCGCAGGGAGGTGAAGAGTCAGTGGAAGTCAACCGATACCACTTTCAGTGCCGATCAGTCGAGGTCTATTCAGATGATCTAGAAGTCCAAGTTATGTAAGGCTAGCTATGAAGATTATCTTATTGATAGACGATGTCCGAAATAAGATTCTGCCGCCTCGTATCCAGTACTCCGTGACATATGTCCATGCACAAGTCTGTACCACATGCATTACGTCAATCTTTACGTGCCACTCTAGGCGCTTTCAACCATATCTCAAGTTGGATAGGCCACGCTCATTACGTTCTCTTATCTATTCGAGAGACAAGGGTAATAATTACAATTATGTACCAAGCCTGTCTCTGAAAGTCTCAGTACACAACACTAGAAAGTGAATAGAAACTATTAGTATTACATATAGCGTAACTCAGATGATATCACAGGTAATCGCGTGAGGCGCGAAGGTCGCGACAACGGACACACCTTGGTATATGTAACACGAAAAATATAGCCTTTCAGCTGGAGGATCCTGTGTGATATAAGAACTTTATCTGAAGGATTGTGGTAATACAGCTCCTCCTGGCTTTCCGCGCTTTTCGCTTTGGCTGAAATAATGAATTCATCGTTACCTAATTATCCAACACATTCATTGACCAGCTGACCCAGTGGCTGGCACCGGTGAGACTTCTCGATCCTGTCTTCGATTTGGTATGCCTTGTCCGACACGCCACCTCTATGGGGCCATGATATCATTCATTATGCGTAAAGAATAATGAATCTTCACTGGATGGTTCCAAATAGTCGGCTGAGTACTTAACAGTCTATTTGATGAGCTAGTAGAGACCAGTATGTAACTGCTCACAATAATACTGATACTTGGTCGGACAGTGATAGCCATGAAGGTTGGGTTGGGCTTCAGGGTATAATAATCAACAGAGTAACTGTCTTAAGTCGGACATGTATATATATTGGCCGCCCTCCCCAGCACTCTCTAAACTGAAGTCAGTGGAAACCTCATCACGGCACTTAAAACCATCTGATATACACTAACAAGATGAAATTTCATGCACCAGTCGTTGCCGCTTACCTTGGAGCTGCATGGGCATTGTCATCACACATAGAAAAGCGATACTATGTACCATGCCCCCAATACGGGAACAAATATGCACAGTGTTGCGGAGTCAAGCTGCTTCAAGAAGGTTTATATGCAGCGTAAGTTGTCTTATAACGCCTATGTATTTCCTAGCTACATTTGTTTCAAGCTGAGCTAACGTATCCCGAACAGCTGTGGTCCTGGTAAGAGCACTGTAAACAGGGTGCATATTTGAAGATAAAGTACTGATTCTTTCAGGTCCTGAAAACCCCGCAAGTTTGGACGATTTCCAGGCGGCCTGTGGTGGCGCATATGCTGTATGCTGCGTGGTAGAAAATGTAAGCTTTTTCCATAGCATCACATCAGACCCCAGTTAATCTTTGTGATCACATAGCCGGTGCACGAAGGAAGGATCTGCTTGCCCGCAACCGGGTAAGCGGTAGTGGCAAATTGCTGGACATAGATCAATGCGACCCCTCTCAGATATTCATGTAATACCGTCTCATTATGTTGAGGATCGCTGCTCGTATCCTATTTCATTAGGATTGTCACTCCTTACAGGTAGCAGATTTACAATTAGCTAGTTCATGTTATAACGTAAGACATGCTGTAGGGGTAGCAGCATCTTAATGGTTTCACCAAAGAGTTATCTCTATTTCCGACCCCGTCTACCCATGTGATTCTTTTTTATTCATCAATAGATGTGTATTTACACTTCCATTCAACTATGCTTTAGTTTCAGCGAGTAATCCAGGTTGATATGTTATTGTCACATCACGTTAATCCTCAATCCACGTGAGGCCTTACAATTGGAATGATGTTACAATAAGTTGACCACTCGTCCCTATAACTCCTTGCATGAAATTCTCATAATGGAGTTGAGAAAGTGATCAAATAGAAGCAGGGTCGTAATAAAAATCACCCTCAGCAGGTCTCTAGAATCTATGGTGGGTGCTTAGCCAGCTACGCAGCGTAAACCGTGTGCAGCGGCGAAGAGTGCTCCAAAGCATCAGTGTTTGTGTTGCACATACGATGTCCCATTTTGAATTATTCTTCTTGTCACGGTCTACATATTTCATACTCCATCGTGGTGTTTTCTTATCTTGAAACTCAGGGTTGGTTTGTTTATGACCAAAAGCAACAATACCTTGGCCGAATACGTCTCTGGGCGTATTACTTACTCTAGATAACTAGGCAGCTACCCCGCGTTTCAGGTTTCGCCCACAGGTTGCTAGCCTCAACAGCATCTTGGCGAATTTGGGGCCGCCAGGATGCTAAATCCTACTAGTTTCGAAGGATTGAATCTGAGCTGGGTTATGGAGCTACTGTGTAGTCCAAGATTTAAAAGGACAGGAAGATACTGATTATCTGAGTAATCTCTACTACCTCATTTATAATGCTTGACCCAATCCTATAGCTACCAGCATTCCGGTACCATTATTTTATTTACCATTAATGGTTTCAAAGATCACTGATACCTAGCGATCATCACCTATTTTGATCTGCTAGACGTGAACTGTATGTTTGAGAGACGATATCTCGAGTTGGTGGTGTCAAGGGGTAGGTCGTATTGTAAGGTCACGGCGAATCCTACGAAAATCGTCACGGCCGATGCACTTGCGCTTATTGGTCTCATCTCGGATTTGCAATATAACCTAAAACTCTAGGTAGCTAAAATTCTTGTTCTCATTGGCCATATAAGGGAAACCTTGAGACCACTTTATCTAGACACAGCCTCATCAGCCACTACAACGGTTGCAAAAGGAGCCGTTCCGAAATCCTTCAAACACACTTTTACTTCGTCGCAGATAGTTCTGGCTTCTTCATTTTCTCTTTCGCTTCATATCTCATACCGGTAGCCACTTATACAGGCTTGATTAACCAAATATGTCGTCCAATAGGAAAACTTCACAAGATCGCAGTAATAGTTTAATAGCATCCGTTACGCAAAACCTACCCCTTACCACCGTGTTCATTCCACCGACAGAATGCATAACGCCATTTATCACCATTCCGGATGCCGGGTGCGATGACATTACATGTTTTGCTTTATTTATGCCCTCATTAGAAATAGACAGCTCCACAGGAGGCGCGCACTTACAATGCTTGCCAAGCTTTGCAACAGACAGCGATTTCAATGAGAGCCCAATCTTTACGTACTCTCCCGGACTGCTCTGCCCATCAGGTATGACCACGGCCTCAAGCCAATCCGATACTGCAGTTTGCTGTCCAAGGTGTGTCGGCACGTTTTCCCAGTCTGATGATTCCTTGAGTTCTAATACGAATGCGCAGCGGCTTGACATGCACAGACATAGGCACCAATGACAAAAGCTACAAATGCACGGCTACATTGACAACGGGGATCTTTGGCCAGGGCGGATGGGGAGAAAACCCTGATATAGGATACATTTCCTCAACGACCGTTCTTTCACGCAATTTTCATCAGATCATCTTCGCACAGGCTACCCCAGTCATTCTTGTGCGCCAAAACACAGACAACAATGATACCAGCAGCATCAGCAGCGACCCAGCTAGCAGCCGTGATTTGATTAATTCCTCCGCTGTGACTACGGGGTCGACTACAGCACAGCCGCGACCTACCAACACATCCATCCATCAGTCAGGCTCAAATACTGCAGCCATCGTTGGCGGAGTTGTCGGTGCTGTTGCAATCATCTTGCTTATTGCTTTAGCATACTTCTTTCTAGCTCGATATCGCCGAAGGAAACACCAGATACATACTATGCCATCGAATGACGCTAATCTAGCGCAAGAATATCCAAGCGACGGAGCTGGGGGGTTCTGGGGTCTGAAGCCGGAGCTAGATCCTACAGCGACGCGATCAGAGCTGGAGGGCACGACTGTCGATCACCAAGGCCCAGGGATATATGTTGTGAAACCAGAACTCGAGGGCACAATCGGGAGAAATCGACTATTAGGTGTGTTTGTGAAAGGAAAGGCCGAATTGGAGGGCAACGGGACCAAATAAACATTTGGATTATTATTCCGTTCTAATACGCTTCGAAGGGTGTCGCTTATCCTCCTTCTCCTCCTCGACGATCACTTCAATCCGTGGCTGCTTGTGGCTTTCCTCGTGTGACCCATTTGCTCTTGTCTCTTCTAAATAGGCTTCTCGAGTATTGCTAAAGTGAGCCTTTCTAGGATACTCCTTTTCGATATTTGTGGAAATCGGTGTTTCTTCATGTGATGTCTGAATGGGAAGATGCGCAAACAGTGGCGTCGGCGTCGGAAATGGGCTTGTTTCTGGTGACTTGTTTCTGGGTGCCGTCTTAGGTGCTATCTGGCCAGTCTCTCCACCACCCTCGCTGTCGATAGTAGCATAATTCTCCTCGGCACTGTCACTAATTTCGTCACTGATACCATCTTCACTGGAACACACTTCATGGAAGGCTTTCTCCCAGGCTTTCATCTTGGCAGAATATTTCTCCCTTATTTCGGGAGGAGTGTGTCTTGCAGGCCATTCATCAGCAGCTGAGCCGTATTTACTCCGTCGAAGATATCCTTGGATTTTAAGCTTTGATAGAGATCTAGTAATTTCTGCAATAAATCTTTGATGATAAGCTACTTCGAGAACTGGGGTGTTCGGTCGAGTAATGAGATGTATGCCTTGCGTGGCGACAACGTCAGAGGGTTTCCGAGACAGCTAGTCTACTGTTAATAAACAAAGCCCCGCCAAGGTTAAAGAGGTTTTAACGTGTAAACTGACGATTTCCAATCGATCAACCATGATGATCATAACGTTGTGCTTATGATGGAATATTATTTGGAAGTTGGCTGTTTCGTGGAAGCTTAGGCCTAGACACTGCGGTTCAGGGTGAATGCGCGAGTATCGATATCCGCTACGCGGTCTCATTGTTATTGTTTAGATGTGACTCGGAAAGTTGGATATAACTAAGACTTTTATCTGATTGGCTATCCTCTCTCCTGCTCCTCCCTGGCTACTCAAGTACCGGTATGTACATTAGCTGATTGGGCAGGTTCACAACCACGTCCATGCCTCCGTTACAGTGATCTGTTGCATGCCTCGATTGTATCCTCAATTCCTACATGCATATATAGTACTTCTTGCACATGATAATATCAATATTAGTAACAGCGATTGGGCACGCTAATGTGCACTTCCAGGTATCCTTGCAGCTGTCCTTGCCATAGGTAGCTCCGGAGCCGCTATTTCAAAACACGGTGCCGCACTTTCTTAATCATCATCATGATCGCTGACTTTCATGTCTTGACTGACTATCTTCTTCTAAATCAATACCGTCTCACCCCATTGCTTGATTATCTACCCTTGTCAAGAGTAGTACATGTAATCCCGTTGATTAAGTAGAAGGTTAAGTTACAGTACGCCTTGCGGCAGGATGGAGGGTCCTTTATACATTCCAGTATGTGGATCGCCAAGTATCATCGCTTTACACTTCTGACAACCCTCTCTTTTGAACCGCTCCAATGCCCGCTTCTCGGTCGCTCAATTGGTTACTCTCGGTACATACAAGTAGACAACGACTCGACCCGCTTTCCTGAAATGTCCTCTACATACCATACCCTACACACGATTCGTCAAGCTCTTCACACAATGGGGTTTCATGCCTACTCCTACTTCTTCAAATTACGTGTGTGTTAGTTAAGGATGTATAGATTTGAATAGACGCCCCTACGCCCGGAAGCCATTGCTACCAGACTTGACAATCTTTCTTTACTTGTTTGATATGACAGAGACCAGAGGAATCTATGCATGTGCACAGAGATAAAGGTTTGAGGGACAAGGAGCATAGATCTATGTAGACCTGGAGGAAAATAGGTAGCTAGAGATAGGTCATAATAAATCATCTTACTCCCCAGTTCACGTTCAAGTCCTTTCTCCCTCACAACCATCATAAGACTTGCCTATCCCTTTGATACCCGAGATAGTTGAGTACGCTTGACCCTGGCCACGTCAGTCCAGAGGCTGGTCCGAGGAGCTATGTTAGGTATGCTGCTCCTAGGTTTACGGAAGTATGATAGAAACGGTATCCCAAGTATTTGCGCAAAATGCAGAATATTTTCCTATGCGAAGCTGTATATTAATTGTACATACTGACTATAACATTAATTTAGATTATCAATATGTAAAGTATCATACTCGTCGCTACTGAGCAAGGAGGAAGGGTGTTAGTGGAGATCGCCGATTTTCTACGCTAACCTTTACCTGGCAGCGTATTTGTAATCCGAAGCGCGCTCTTGAGGGTCAATTGGACCGGCAGTTACCTCAACTATACTCATACCTAGAGCATCGGGGAAATGGCAACGGACGCGCCCCCTCGGAAAATAAACAAATACAGAAGTTCCAGCGGTTGTTGGACTTGTCGACTGCGGCGAAAGAAATGCGACGAGCAGCATCCTGTATGCGACTGCTGCGATGCACTCAACCTAACTTGCCACTATGGCGATGAGAAGCCGGACTGGATGGACGGTGGCGCGAAACAAGAGGAGATGGCCGAGTTCCTACGACGCAAGGTCAAGGAGAGGGGTCATCGCCGCTTTGGAAATCGTCACCACTCCGAAACTGCCGGATCCATCGGGTCCACGCCAGCCCCAAATCAGACTGCGCCGCAAGCATCAAATGCTCGAGATACTAATACTTCTACCGATGGACGACTGACGGAACCATGTGCCCTTGCGCTCAGGGCTGTCAAGCCGCGGCGGGTGGACTGCAAGCCCGCGCCACGGGGTCAGAATTCAACGTCCGGTCAGCCCGACGACTCTCTTCTTACCATGTTCTACATCGATCATGTGTTCCCCTTCTTGTTCCCGTTTTACCAGCCCTCGTTGCTACAAGGTGGTAGAGCCTGGCTCTTAGAGATGATGATGAAAAGCCCGGTGGTTCGTCGGGCCGCACTCTGCCAGAGTTCCTACTTCTTCTCGCTATCGCGGGGAGGGCCAAATTGGGAGACGGTGCTCGCGCAAACGAAGGAGGCCTTTGAACTCCTGCAACAAGCACTGCAAGTCATCAGCGGCTCGGATATCACCGAACATCTACACGGTGCTGCGAGAGTCATGGCAAGCATTATGCAGGTGCAACGATTTGAGATCGCTGTGTTGAGCTTCGACAACTGCCAAGCGCACCTGAGAGGCGCCCTAGCACTTTTTAGGCAGCTTCTCGATAGCGCTAGAAGTATCGAATCGCTGGGATTCAACTCGAGTTTTGAGGCAGCCATGCATAGTGTAGGGCCGCAATCGTGGAGTGAGGCTCTATACGGTCATCTTCCAAGCGCGGAACAAGCTGCCTTCCACTTCTCATCTACCTTGTTGATATTTGACGACATAGTCGCCAGCACGGTACTCCAGGAACAGCCCCAACTCTACGAGTACCATCACAGCCTGCTGGTGGAAAATATCCAAGGTACGGGTCCAGTCATTGATCTCGAGTCTGTTGTGGGCTGTCAGAATTGGGTTTTGGTACAGATAGGTGAGATTGCCGTGCTTGATGCATGGAAGCAGCGCTGCAAGCGCGGCGGAACTCTGGATGTGATGGAATCGGTTCGTCGTGCTACATGTATCAAGAGCTCTTTGGAAACTGGCCTCACCCGGCTCCAAACAAGCACGGTAGCCAACTCCGAGAACAGCAATGCTATATTCGATATTTTTGCAGAAAATAGTACTGCTTCCCAGAAGCCCCTAGTCACCCTCGCTTGGGCTTATTCAGCACTCATTTACTTATCGGTCGTTGTATCTGGCTGGCAGCCTGCTAGCGTCGAGATACGTCATCTGGTGAGACTCATCGTGGAGGAATCAGTGTGCCAGGTATCGCCACCAGCGTTGTTGAGGACCATGGTATGGCCTATTTGTGTAGCGGGTTGCCTAGCCGAACCGGAACTAGCGATACAGCTGCGCGAGATAATAGAGTCTCTCCAGCCGCCAAGCGTTTTCGGTACCTTACGCAAAGCTCTCAAAGTGATGGAGGCCGTATGGCGCAATGATAATGCCGAAAATCTTGATGGCCATGATCTCGCCACGTGCTTTCGATATCAAGGTGACCTCGTACTACTCGTGTGAGAGAGTAAAATATAATCAATGAGTGAGAGATACCCTTCTAAACATATACCTTCCATTGACTCGTTTAGTCTAACGTTACTTCAAACTAGTTACATTGGTTTATCAACTGCACACCGATATCTCGATTACGGTCTATCTGTCTAGAATTGAACATAGCCTTTTCCTTTGACAAAGGTGGCATTCCATGGTACCTTGCCTTCGTGCTTAACCAACTCAGCATAAAACTCGGCATGGGTCGGACCGTCAAGCTGCGCTGCCTTAATTTTGCCATCCTCGTGACGTTCATCCGCATAGAAGAAACTGCCAAGTCGAAACTATTAGAGCCTCTTCCCCAAGGTAGGCACAATTTTGGAGAGCCTTTACTCACCGATATCCCTTCGCAGCATACAGCGTGTCAGCCAGACCGATCCAGTATGCAGAAGCAGACTTGCCAATGCCTAGGTTCTGCATGAGGGGAACAGGCAAGACGACCTTATTCAAGATGTTGCCAGTGTAGATGAAGGTCTTCTTGATTTCACCGGGTAGCGTATCCCAGGCGGCCACAGCCTGCTGCGCAGCGGCGTACGGGCTCACAGTGTTCACGTTCAAGTCGGAGGCGACGCTCGAAGCCCCAATTGACAGGACCGAGCCCTGGTCGGGAGGCGGAGTCAGTGCCGCCGCATTGTATATGACGACATTGGGTGTGGCCTTGAACTCAGCTTTGGCTGCATCGAACAGCGCTGGGATCGACTCAGGGTTGGTGAAGTCTGCTTTGAGGGAAAGATAGCCTTGCTCGTTAAGACTGCCGGTGCCTTTTCTGGATGCGAGGGCGACCTTATACCCGTCAGTGGCGAACTTGTCAGCGACAGAGGCACCGACCCGGGGACCGGCTCCTAGAATCAAGACGACGGGCGACGACATTGTAGGTTGATAGAAGATTCTCGAGATGAATGGATTTCTCCGTTTAAGTTCTACGGAAGCTGTCAATGTCTGATGATACTGGGTTCTATTGAATCACATTCTCTTGCCCAGACACTTAGCTTTATATCAGTCAAGTAGGATAGATCTAGAGCCCCGTGGGATGAGAGCTTAGATTCACAGACCACATCGCCCCATAGTATCTACCGCGCGATCCGTTTTCATTATTGACGCATTTGTAAGCAATGCGCTCGATTCTCTGGTGCTATAGTACCTCGATGAAACTTTCTATCTGCCGTTCCACGTCCTATGTTCGCCTATCTACGACAACATACCGCAGAACAACTCGAGCTGATTCCCGAGGAGACTCCAGTTCGCGCGCGGCATGCGGGGGCGTAGGTGCCGGATCTAGCTCTGTCACTGGCTAGGTCGGATTGTCACCCCACTTACCGCTCGACGGGCGATCGTGTATTAATGCGACCGCTCTTCAGCCGCCTCCTATTATCAATCCCAGAATCAGATTCCGACGACGGTGATTTGGGGCATCTGTCATGATTTGTATACGATTTCACATTTGTAAGCCACTAATCCTGGCTTACGAGTTGTGCCTCAGATTCAAAATGCAGATATATATCGAAAGCCCCTTTCAGGGGCCAGCCAATTGTGCATGGTTTTCGCGTTGAGGAACACAAGATGCCTGTTCCTGCAAAGTCGGCATTCTTCATTACTTCGCTTCTTGTCCTGTTCATATCTCTCGCATATCGTTTAGTCAAACCCGCCGCTTCGACGCCAGCAACCGACAACACGTCAATCAAAGGTCTGATCACCATGTCTAACCCGTCGCCTTCAGCTCATCGGATGCCCGTCTACTTCCTCGGCATAGGCGGCCCCAACTTCATGGAAAACCAGAACCACCCCGCCTATCTCAAACTGGGTGAGACTGGGTTAGAAATCACAACCAAGGTAAAACCCAAGGCGGTGGTTGTCTTCTCTGCTCACTGGCAAGACGGGCCTAGCAGGGTAAGTATCAACGCTGCTGAAAACGCCAAATTGATATATGACTTCTACGGCTTCCCTCCACATTATTACGAGTACAAATATCCGAGCAAAGGAAGCCCGGAGATTGCCGAGAAAGTTGCTCAGAAACTATCTGGGGCCGGCATACAAGTTGAGAAAGTCAAGAGAGGCTTGGACCATGGTGTATGGGTCGGGTTTCTAGCTGGTAAATGAACAATGAGCCTGTTATATCCATATTTCTCAGCATTTCATCTCTAACGTCGCGAGTGCAACAGCGTTCGACCCTAAACGCAACCCCCTGAACGTCCCAATTGTTCAAGTCTCTTTATTCAACAATGAGGACTCAGGCCTCCATTACCGCATGGGCCAGGCTCTCGAAGGTCTCCGAGACGAAGGAATTCTCATTATCGGCGCAGGAATGGCCGCTCATAACCTGCAGGATTACAGGGTTAATCGAGGCAGCACCAAGCCCATGCCGTAAGTCGATCCCCTGCTGATTCCAGTACTGATTATGAATTCATCCGGACTTCTGTTGACAAGTATCGCTATTAGATACTCCATCAGTTTTGACGATGCCTTGGAAGCAGCTGTTTCCTCGAAGCCGGAAGACCGTAGGACGGCAATGTCGGCCTTGATGAGACGCAGCGATGCGAGACAGGCGCATCCAACGGTGGAGCACATCCTGCCTGTTCATGTAGTTGCGGGTGCTGCTGGTGCTGATGTTGGTGAACGCTTGTGGACTATGCCCGAGGGGCCCTTGAACTGGGCGCAATATCGATTTGGAAAAGTTTAACTATGCTTCGAAGTTTATCATGAATGCTGCTTGGTAATATCCTATTACAGAGCTCGTTGAAGAGAGTATGCTGTGTGGTTAAGTTACGGACGCAAATGAGGTGGTCCGATTAAGACTGGGCATTGTGCTGATCGGCTTCCCTATTTCAATCAATTACAATAATTTCTCCTTGAAGGGACCCATTCCGCTTTTGAGAAGACTTTGTGTCTTCTCTCGAAGGTGTAAAGCCTTGCTTATCTTTGGACTCTAGGAGGTCGCCCAGCATATCCTCGACGGAAACAGCCATCTGGAGAAACACGTCCGCTAGCCTTTCGAGTTTAAATGAAGGCTTGAATTTGTCATCAGTTGAACAGGCAGCGAGATTTGACATTTCTAGTTGAATGATATTTTGCAGGCGGGAATTTTGCAGCTCCGGTGGCGTTTTGCTGATACCATCTGCAAGATGGCGGGCCCCCATACCATGTCAACAATGCAATGTAGGTCTGCCATTCTTTTCGTTCTCGGCCAGTGCCTCTTGAAAAGCTTTGATGCCTCCCGTAAGACAATATTCACATCGTTGCATCGGTAGCTGAGTTTACTCGAGAGTAGATTATCATAAGTCTGAGTCGGTTGCCGGCGCTGTAAGTCTTCGATTCTGACAATGCTTCTTCGAAGATTCTCAAGAATGTCGAAGTAAATACCACCATAGTCAGACACTGTCCTTGATTGACGTGTGGATCTCTGGGAATGACTTGGACGTTTTCTTTTCAGTTTCCTCGTCTTTTCCTCTTTGTCTGATTGCTGTTAGCCCTGAGATAGAAAGTACGGTAACACTTGAATTCACGTCCAGAACTAACATTTGATTTTATCCATGATTCCAGAGCATTCGACTCGAATCGAATCCATCCACTTCACCTCCTGCCAATCCTCTCTGTATAGGCCGCATGTTTTAACTGTGTTTAATAGCAAAAGCTGCCTGAGGATGGTATGCTCTGGCAGGTGACTCATAGCGCAGCTGGGGTGGAATCCGCTCACTCTCGACATAACGATCTGCTCTTGGCCGTTTCCCTGGAGCCCAACGCTGTCAAATCTATCCAGTTGGCCAACACACCTGGTTTCGAGCCTTCTGAGATCCCCTTTGGGATCGCAGATTTTACGGCTCACGGACATCTTCGTGGTACCCTGATGTTGAGTAGGAAGCCGAATTTTGCCCGCGCAAAGAACTACATCGGGACTTTTTGCACATATTGCCAGCCTGCAGGTATCGAATGCCTTTCGAATCAATGTAGGCGGTAACTTCTCTGGTCGCTGGGGAGTAAATGGCAATAGATCGACCAAAGACACATTATCTCGTAAAGTCAATGAATTACAAGATGCGGTCCTGAATAATTCATCCAATGTCCTGAAAGTCGGACAGTCTTGGATTACTGCATCGAGACCTCTGTCAAACGGATGACGGTATCGGGGCTGACTCAAGATAACTACTATGCCGCCCGTCGTGGTCGGTCCAGCAAGCTCTGCCGTGACATTAATCTCGTCATTCTTGCGGCCTAGCCTGGCTCCGTGTTGGCGAATTATCGAGATATGTTCACTAGTTTCCGGATCCCCTTCACGCAGAATAATCTTCTTGCACAGCCTGATGATGCGATGGTCAATTGCCGTCCTTAAGCAGATTTTCGGCCGCTCAATTGGTGTCATTGTCCGCTTCGAATTAAAACAATCGGAACTTCGTATAGTATAAGAATCATGAACGAAAGAGGAAGAACTGGACATGTAATTTCGTCATTATATCCGGCATGTTCCTAATATGGGAGTAATCACCTGCGCAAGCGGTATAATTATACTTCAGCTTTTTACACTTCTACAGCTCAAGGGGCAGGGCTTCCGAGGCACCCATACCCAAAACGCCACATCGTACATCACGCGGAGGACCCCCTGTTCCTTTTCTCACAGTTATCATGATGCTTTTTATGACTGTTCGAATACCGTTATCAAGTCCAAGGTAGCATGGCTCACTAACTTACTCAGAAGATACATCGCCTTTTCAAGGATCCATCGTGTGACACTTTCAGGTCTTTCCATACTTATGTGGCCCCGAAACATCTTCCCGAACTTAGATGAAGGCGATGCATTCGTTCCTCGGTGGCCGATGTGCCAAAGGTAGAAATGTATGAGCATGGTTATAGCCTGCTCCTTTTCTCATTCGTTTATCCCTCCTGTGACAAGCCACAGTAGTACCAGTACTTCGTAGAATTAGAGACAAGGTGTAGCTTCATTCTCGCCTTGAATAGGCAGCCTAATGCTTAGTCAAAACCTTGGTTTCAACCTTGTCTTCTTCTCAATAGTAGGATGGGTACACTATCAGATGATCTCAAATGCGAACCTGTCAGCCTATGGCTGACTCAACATGCAGCAGGCCAGGGTTCTTGCCAGGGGTCAAGTTTACTTATGCCCCAAGTCAGCCGCAACGAATGACAGCCACCGCCGTCAACGCAAAGCCAAGACACAAAACCACAGGTAAACCATCTCCGGGCCGGGTCCCGCGACACCATCCAATTCCCCATAGAAAACGAGTACTATGCTACCCCGCATGGTACAACGAGCGACCAACCCAAACCCCCACCATGCAGGGGTTCATTAATTGCGTTACCAAGTAACATATCTGTCACATGGAGTTCTGAAGCACAGAAAGACAGAATCTCTGAATAGCTATTCAATATTCAGGACATGCAGTGATTATGACTGACCTATAATCGTTGTTTAACCCAGAAATACTTGTAAGAGCTATAACACAGCACTATCAAAAGTAGCCCGTACCGACCTTAACACCTTCGTGTCATCTGCACGTGTCAGACGTGCGTTGACATCAATTGGCATAAGTAATTAACCCTACAACCAAGACATTATAGGATCCCTCCTCATGAACTGTCAGACGGAGATGTGAACTGATATAGCGAGCAAACGATAGCACACAGCTGAAGGGTAGCAAAGAAAATGTCCGGACACAGGTCACCAGATAACCAATGGAGTCATCCAAAACGATGATTGCCGACAAAGAGGTTGCATCAGTCTATGCTCTACCTAGGCTAATCTTTGTGTGTGGCCAGAGACTAGGTAGTCATGAATACCGAGCCAGCCCAACCAGTGTAGTGTTTTCAAATAGCTATCTATCTGCAGCAGCAACCTCATAATGCGCAGACAACATCATAAGAACTCGAGGCCGTGTGAGGAGGCGGAGTGTACTATGAAACTCGAAGGTATCCTTCGGATATCTGATTTACGATTGTATTTGGTCGAGACTTGGCTTGGGTGCATTATTTCCAGGCTCCAGACTCGTGCACTGTGTGCATCCTGCATAGAAATTTGGATCGTGTGGAGGATCGAAGTAATGTTGAGGGTCCATATTGCTTGTAGCGGATTGGGCCCAGATATGCTTGTGCATCCATAGGTTCCCTACAATCCACACATGTACATGATAGCGAAGATCACGGTGACTAAATTCCCCGGTCACTCGGTGACAAGGTCCCTCTGGGTATTGGTTAATATGAATGCTTTCAATCCGCTGTGGTGGCTCTCTAAACTCAGAGATCAGTTATAGTGCTCTTGAACAGAAGATAGGTAAACAAAGTAAAAGGAATGGTAATTAGCTTACGTGATTTCAATTATGGCTTGGTCGAAGCGGAGTTGGATAGCAGCCATACATAGGAAATGTTCAGTAACAGCCTTGAGGATTTCCCGTGGCTGGTTAGCTTCTATGCAAGCGTCTGGTAGCTTTTCCTCAAGTGCCTCTCTTTGCCAATTTACTCTAATGCCTTGCGCCTCTGGCTGCGCTGCCATCTGGCCTGTCGAGTATGGAAGGTGGTGGCGAATATAGTTATCCATAGCGCCCTCGAAGTAACAGAGAAGCTAGGTAGAATAAGTCAAACGACTAGTATTGGGTAGAGATAGTAAAAGATGAGTTCAATAACTGATAGATTTAGAGAAACATGAGAAGCAGAAAGCCTGCGGAGAGCATAGAGCACGAATTTTCTAACATATATTCAATAGATCACACCGAGGCCTTTAGGTGTTTATCTACACTCCCTTAGATATGCCATACTGTTCGTTCTTTTGTCCCTGAAACACGGTAGAAAATTCTATTGTGCACTCGTCTTACACCTCCAGTCATAGCAGGCCACGTCTATCTTCCCATATTGACAAACATTGTGTTGTCATTTGGATTTGTATATGGTCTCAAGTTTCTGACCTCAGCCACATCGATGAGTGGTCAAGAAGCCTAGATTCCATAGTATTGACTCAGTAGACCAAACAAACAGAGTTTGTGACAACCTATCGTTAAATTCACTCGAGGATGGCTATCCAATCCGTCAGGCGATGTGTACCACGCTCGCTACACTCCCTTGACTGGTGAGTTGCGTAAAGGGAGTGGCGCCATGCAAGTTTACGCAGTCGGGGCAGCAGTTTGCCATAAATCCCGCGCCGAAGATTTCTGGGTCACGTGATAGCAGCAGTTCAACCCTTCCTTTACACGAATATGGGTAGAAAAGGCTCTAGCCGCGTATTGTTTCTTTCTAATGACCTGCAGGCAACATTATACTTGATAGAACAAGGAAAGCTGTTAATTCGGCGCCTGAAAATATACATCATGGATGAGCACTAAATATCGTGTCAGCAATGGTGTAACTCAAAAATGGCAGACCTCTTCCTACAATGTACCTAAGGGATAAGCAATTTATTCCCTTTCTAATGGAGTGTTAAGATGATGCTTTCTGTGATAGCATGTCTCCCATTGGAGTAGGGGGTTGTGCTTTTCCCCGGCCACCTACCTCTTCGACAGGGAAGCCAAAATAATGCATTGATTCCCATAGCTTTCGAATTATCTGTTTGTAAACGTGTGCTGGACGTTTCCTAACGAGTCTTCAACCAACGCTTACTGGAAACGTTGTGTTATCAAAGCCACCCATTAGCGATATGTTTCTCTGAAGGGTCTTAGCTCTTAATGGGCAGTGCTACGATTCGAAATATAGAATAATTATGCAGACGGTTAGGTTTCGACCTGTTTTCGTTTTCCTACAATGAGGCGTATCCTCAAGTACAGAATCGATCTTTCCGATACAATTCTATGCATCTGCATCTGATACTCATTTTGGTCGATTGCTCGGACGTCACAAGTCTTGGGCATGAGGCTCTGCATGTTGGTGATCTCTTTGATCAACTTGCCCGAGGACCAAACACCGAAACCCGATACAATCCCGTATTCGCAAGTCATGACACTGTAAATCCTGACTTGAGGTATAGCACAGAAAGTACGGCACCAATAATCCTGTGAACACTAACGGCTTTCATAAGGTAGGTACCTACTACTTAGTGATAAGGGAATATAGGATCGGCGCCTGAGAGGACGGCTCAAACGTCGTGGAATCGACGAGGTCTTCGTTGATTTCTTGTACTACGTGTCATGCCCAGTCCTATAATGATCTTGTAGACTTACCACACTTCTCGGTGCATTATCAAAGATTGAATTGAGACCGCACATGCTTGTATTAGAGACTTTAGTACACATCTTGATAGTCAACCGATTCGCAGTGTAATCAGAGGAATCGACCAGTTAGTCGGGGTCGACTTGACAGAAATTCAACTCCCAGTCGACTATTGGCGCGTGTAGTTGAAAGCTTCAGGAAGCTCACCTGGCAGTCCGGGAATATGACCCAGTTGTCCTAATGCCAATTTTATATAGACCCTCGGACAATTCGAGTTGTTATAAACCACCACCTCCCCCCTTTTGAACAAATCCACGATCCCTGTCAACCCTAGGTAACACGAACACTATAGGTTCTATATTTATCTCGCGATGAATGTCTACTTAATAACTTTGATGGTCACCTTGTCTTGTCCTACAATACAGTATCTCAAGTCCAGCGTCGAATTCGTATCTCGTTATATCTAAATCCCCGCCATGGGATTCATACAAAGCCAATTGATAGAGATTGGGAAACTCTCATACCCCAGCACATCATATTCCGGGCAATCGATTGTCATAACGGGCAGCAACACCGGCCCTGGCAAAGAAGCAGGCCGCCACTATGCTCGGCTTGGCACGAAGAGACTGATCTTGGCCGTCCGCAACCGACGTCGAGATTTAGCTCTGGGAGATCGATATGGCGCAGCCCTCAAGCATAAAGGCTTTCGCCACTCGACTTGAAAGCGAGCTTGACCGAGTCGATATCTTTCATGCCAATGCGGGCTTGGTCTCGGCGAGTTACAAGGAAGTCCAAGGATTCGGGGCAAAGGGGGTGAAGATGAATATCGCGATCAACTACATCCCGACCAACCTGCTCGTCGCTCTTGTGCTACCCAAGCTAAAAGCCACGGTGGCCGAGCATTCCTTTCGGCTTACTCGTCATCACTAGCTCAGGGGCTCACAGACATATACAGTTTCCTCAAAAGTCAAAGTCCAACCTCCTCGAAGCGGTGAAAAACAATAGAGAGCATAGCCCGTACTGGAAAGAGCAGTATCCTCTCTCTAAGCTCCTCGGCGTATTCGCTATCCGCAGCATCGCGGAGGAGTATCCCTCTTACCCCGTGACCATAAACGCTGTGTCCCCCGGCCTTTACCACTCCGATCTGTCGCGCGAGGCCAAGGGGCTGCAGAAGGTGGCCTTCGGGTTGGTGAAGACCATGCTGGCCAGGACGACGGAGCAAGGTAGCGGGACTTTAGTTTCGGCGGGGATCGCGGGTTTGGAGTCGCATGGTCAATATCTCGAAGACTGCAAGGTGGCAGAGCCCTCCGAAGTGGCGACCCAGAACCCGGACGTAGGAAAGTGCTTTTGGGCCGAGTTGAAAGCGAAGTTAGAGGAGATTCAACCTGGAGTGACGAACAACTTTTGAGTTAGACTTATCCACACATTAGGGGTTTGTTCTTTAGCGCGGGAAACACGGGTCGGTAGTGTATATAGATGAGTCGAAGTAAGTATACGTAATTATATAATATCTATTACGAGATACCAACACAAATGATAAAATGTCTGTCGCGTGTGCGTCCATGAAGAAGCGTCTTCGTGATGGCTGAAATCGGTCTTCGTCGTAGGCGTCAGCAACACCTCCATGCCCCGCATCCCCGCATTCGCTGAAAGGAACCATCGAACTCCTTATGAAGAATCATTTACCTTAGAGAATACATAGACATCCCAATGAATTCAACGAGATAATTGATGTAGAATGAACACATTTGAGAGAGAAGGTGAGATCATGAGCTTGGTTGCCTACAGAGGGAAGTCTTATCTTGCAGCGTGCCCACTGCTTAGACGGAATAATCCGCAGTTCAGCTGCTACCTACTCGCCGCTCTGATAAGGAAGCAACTTGCCTCCGGCATCATACGGGTATGGACAATCTCAGAAAAGCATATACAGCACACCTGATATCTATCTCATCTTAATTCTAATAAGACAAGACTGTGATCTGAATGAGAATCAATCTCATCTGATCTAATCCGACCTAAATGGAGCATCGTGCAGCGATTCCCGTGTCCTTGCCAAGTGACAACCCCACCCGGAGCTATTGGCAGCTCGACGTCGACGAGATTGCCGACCTACGCTCCACCGAGTCGCTCCCTGAGAAAGCAGACACAGTGATCGTTGGAAGCGGTATCACGGGCGCCGCGGTAGCATTCAATCTCCTGAACAATGGCGCGAAGGATATCGTGATGATAGAAGCGCGCCAAGCCTGCTCGGGCGCGACCGGGCGGAACGGTCAGTATCCCGTCCATCACTCGCCCGCTCACCTCTCTCAGCTGACAGGAGATTGTTGCAGGCGGACACACGAAAGCAGCGTCGTATACCACCTTTCTACACCACGCGTATGAGCACGGGGCTGAAATGGCGGCCAAGATCGCCCGTCTCGAACTCGCTAACATCCGCGCCGTGCACGCCTTTGCTCGCGAGCACGGTATCGATTGCGACAGCCATCCCTGCAGCACGACGGATGTGATTTATGACGCGGAGAATTGGGTATTGGCGCAGAAAGCTGTCCGCGCCTTGCAGGACGCCATGCCCGGGGACGACGCCGCTGTTTACACGCTCCACGACCCCGATGAAGTCCGCAGCAAGTTCTTCTGCGGTAAGGGTGGTGACGAGGGTGTTTTCGGTGGCATTTCGTACGAAGCAGGCAGTATCAACGCGTATAAGTTCACCATTGGCGTTCTAAAGTTTTGTATAAAGGAAGGGTTGAATTTGCAGACGAATACGCCCGTTACGAGTGTGGACAGATTACCCGAGGGCGGGTACAAGGTGGAAACTCCTAGGGGCACTGTTACAGCTAGGAGGGTGATCATGGCTACGAATGGATATACGGCGCACCTGTTGAAGAGATTCCAGGGCCACATAGTACCATTACGCGGACATGTCACGGCACAGCGACCTGGGCTTAATATGCCGCAAGGTGGGCTAGAAAACACATACACGTTCTCCTATGGAAAGGGTTACGACTACATGATTCCACGACCCCCAGGTTCAAAATTCGAAGGAGACATCGTGATCGGGGGTCGTTTGAGTAGCGCCGCATCAGATGGTTTATATGAATACGGCACGACAGATGACTCGGCTGAGGATGAGGACACGATGCGAGATCTCATTAACACGCTCCCTCAATACTTCGGGGATAACTGGGGCACCGATCACCCCGACGGTCGTATCCGTATGAAGTGGACGGGAATTATGGGATACGGTCCCGACGGGCTCCCTTTCGTGGGGGAGATGCCGGGAGAGAAGGACCTCTGGGTATCTGCTGGCTTCCAGGGTCATGGAATGGTCTTATGCTGGATGTCCGCGAGAGGTCTCGTGGAGATGATGGAAGGTCGCGATGGAGAGGAGCTCCGTGGATGGTTCCCGGACGCCTTTAGGATTCATGAGTCGCGATTTGGATTGACCTTTAAAGATCGCATGCACACTCACGGTGATCCATCTGCATAGGAACTTGGGTGCTAGCGAAAGCATTGTGTTTCGGTCGCGACGAGTATAGAACCAAATATAATAGATTGGAATCTTGTCTTTTCGCAAATGCGACAGCGGTGGATGCAAGAACTCCCTCTCACCCCTGTCCCTGTTTTTCTTCTTCTCTCTCCTTCTTCACCGCATTAACCTGTATCCAAAGGCTCAATTGTTACTTTCTTCTTGACCACATGGAAAATCACGGCCCACCGCCCCCTTTTCCTTTTCCTCTCGAACCTTAATCCGATCGATGCTCCTAGCTATAGCGGCTGCCGTGACAACAAAGTCAATATTGTGAAAGTTTACCAGCACCGGAGTTAGTCAGCACGCATGTTATGGTCACAAGTATGCGGGTATGATGACCTTGTTAGTGCGCAAGGAACCCTGGTTTACGAACTAGATCTTGATGCTATTATATATACACAGCAGGTTTTCCCCTTGTCTCCAAATGCCACAGGATAACAGCGTAGTCAGACGAATAGTGTCAAGTTAATCGTACCAGGGCTGTCCATCCCCTTTCCCCAGTCCTCACGCTGACCAGAATTTGGGCGGCTTCTAACTCCCTGGGTGTGTAATCTGCTTCCTGAGCCTCAGCAGCCACTGCCTTCGCCCGCCTCGTCTCATCTCGCCGCGCATTAGCTTTCTTTTTGCGTTCCACACTTTCCGCGCCTTCTTTTGTCAGCGGCGCATATTCAACACCGGGGTTATCAACGTTGAAACTGCATTTTCGCTTGGACCTAAGGCAGTTCCCGCATTTCCAGGAGTTAAACTTCTTTGGATTGCGAGCGACCATGCATTTGCAATTGACATCTCTAGCTTTGCGGCAATTCTCGCACGGATGGTCCGCGACGATGCCTATCGTGTCGTCGTTAAGTTGGTCACCTTTCTGTTTCTCTTGCTCTGTCTTCTGTCTATTTCTCCTTTTCCTGCGCTCTAATAAAGATAGAGCTGGTGTAAGGACGGCTGGTGACGGCGTAGGTAATGGGGTCCTTTCAATCGCGTTGTTGGTACGCGGGCTGAGTGGCAAAGGGGGGGAAAAAGATGATGAGGAGGATGAAGATAAAAGTAAAGGAGTTGAAGAGGAAGGTTGTTCCATGATGATTACAGCTCTTTGGATATCTGTTAGTAGAGAATCGGAAAAAAGAAAAATAACGATATGGAACTAAGAAACACATAAAGAAAGGATATGTACACTGATTCTTACCTTACTTGAGGTTGGTTATTGATAAAAAAGTTATATGACTAAGTGACATACGTAGTGAGATACATACGTTCGAGCCGACGATGAAGGTAGAGGAAGACGAGCGGCCTCTGGGAGGGGCCAAGGGGATTTTTATATACAACAACCCGAACTTTAATCACACATAATGTGAACGAAATCATATATGTACCCTCTCTGTACGCGCATGAAATATGTAACGTCGAGTACCTGCTTTCTCGCATGAAACTCTACACGTCTCTCTACGAACTGCAGCAGGACTTCAAGGTACAATGCCTCATTCGGACTCAGTATACACCTTTAGCAACCTCCTTCCTCTCAACCTATTAGCCGGCGCTCCTTGCTGTTTACTCAGTCCAATGGTAAGCGGTATGTAGAGTCCCAACATCAAGATGATCACCCACAGAATAACCGAATTGGTACGGTAGGCGGATCTTGAGGTAAATGGAGCGGCTGCTCTCTAGTAAGATGAGAGGCGAGGACTTGAGCAAGTGGGACTTGTAGCAGTACTCAGGAGGCCTAATTAGGGTTGTTGCAAGCTGGCGAGAGTCAAGTTTTCGTATGTGCCGGGGTGCCCAGTATATACTATTGGCTTGCGACCACCTCAGGGATGCCTGCCCCGAACTCTAGCCATAGCTCACAAGGGTGTTGGGTCGGGCTTTCTTTAGTATTGTTTAATAGCCGTTCCTTGATCGTGAGTGCCGTAAACTGTACAGTGCTCCAGAACTGAGTTCGGACCACTGCAGCCTTTCTTTGCCGCAGTCTGAGTTGTAGCATGTGACGCCAACATAGTTGTGTTTTTGTGACCGGTAGGCCCCCAGGACAATGGGTTGTATGTACACTATTACCAAGCTGGGACGGATTTCCGTATCCTTAGGCTGATCTCGTGCCTTGTGAGACGTTCTTTCAATTTCAGTCTCTGAACAACACCAGTGTCAACAACTGATAATCCCCCCCCTTTTCCGTTGAATTATGGACAATGTCCTTGACACTGGCCTCTGGTCAATGATAACATATGAAGCAAAGACGAAGCCACGACTGATAGCAGATCTCTAGATCCCCGAGGCAGTCGCGTTGTCGTTCCCTTACTTTTCAGGTAAGTCTTCGGCCCTAATAAACGTGATGTCACAGCATCCAGACACTCTATAACCTTTCAACACCAATTGATATACAATGGTATTATCCGTCAGCCACAGCGAGCTATCACAATTAAATGATTAGCTACCTGTGGCACCCCTATTCGAAAATCAGCCATACTCTCGGGCCATCATATATCATCGTTTCGCGGAACGCTTAGGCCGCCACTCCTTTCGCCGTCGAGAGCAAGAGCATCGTGCACGCGAAGACGACACCCAGAGAGCTTCGGAGCTAAAGACACATCTGTATCTCATTCTGATGGATCCATCATATCAAGCTCCGACCCTCGCTTCGAGCTAGCCGATCATTCGTGACCCAGTCCAGTAAGCATAAGAACGCGATATTATCGCACTCCATCAACTGCTCACCGCGGAATCTAAACATCTTCAAATGGACTTGGCGAGCTTCAAAATCCGACCCTTTTCTGATTTCGTTTATGACTATCGTCTCCCAATCTCGATGCCGACATATGGCTAATAGTAAGCGAATATGTATCGACGGCAGATCCACTCATGAACGGTGTCGCCAACGCATATGACTGAACACATGGAATTTCCTTACGATTTCGACCTCAACTGCGCCTCCGACTTCAAAAGAATTCTCTTCTAAAAAATCGGCCCACCGTCCACAAGATACCCATCTCCGCGTATACGACAGGGTTCGTTATATGATAAATAGACCGACAGCTAAGCGCTTGCCAGAGATGGACAACACCGCGGTGCAATGATCATCCGAATATCTCGGTCAATCATGGTCTCTATGGCTGGCCACTATTAGTTGAAGACGCATTCTCCAGAAGCATGATCATACCACTTCTGCCAGTCATGCCTAACTCCCAATAGTCACATCGTCCGTGTGACAGACCTGTATACCAAAGCTGACGAGACACAATAGTGCTTTGATTATCAAGGATGCTAACAGCGAACATGGAAGAAAGATTGTATTAAACTATTCATGATATACTATGATACCACACGTGGTGAATGCGGTGAATCAAGCTCGCAGCCAACGAGAGCCTGCGAACTTCAGACGAACCAAGGTTTAATTGCCGACGAAAATAGCGACGAGGCGCCTGCGGACGCTCCCCGACGCGAAGATGGCAACTGGACAGAGCGCCCAGCTGGCTGTTGAAGATGAACTTCTATCACGGGGCTGGGGATACGGCATCGTGGGCCAGGATTCAGGAAGATCCAGATCAACAAAAGACCACCTTCGACTGTTGCCCCGTACCTAGACTCATTCTGGACAGGAAGCTCGAGCATGAGCGATATAGCGGTGATCAGCTGGATGGGACTATCGCAAAGGAGAATCTCGCGCAAGATTCCCTTCTCCCCTCTAGTGGGCATAACACCGAGATTTTAGTGAACTTAAGTCTTTACTCTCTCCTCAGGGCACCATGCCAGTAATAACGACTCGAACCGTCCACGCTGACACGTGCCTTGACGCTCAGATGCACGGAATTACACAGACGCATTCTGGCACTCATGGATCAACCACAGTCAAAAGAAAGGTGTGTGGTTTATATTGACTGAACCGCTGTCATTTCAACATCTAGCCTAGGCTATCTTATCTTGCCCTAGCTAGCCAAAGCTTGCCTCATTGGGTCCCCTTAGTTCAGCCCTATTATCTTGTCAAATACGAACTCTATTTGAAAACTATATCGAAACACGTGGGTTTCGCGGAAGAGACTGGTGGCAAGATGAAGCATCTAAATCATTGACGCGCCGCTCGTAACAAAGTAGATCTATGAGCTGGGGCCTCGGTTGGGACTCAAACTTTGGTTACACATCATAGATATCCGGTTCTTTTCATTTCATCCAATTATCGCCGATATGAACTTGCCAATAAGTACATAAAAAACGATAACCAGCGCACAGTCATCGATGTTCAATCTGCCTAATCACAATCACTCATATCCATACCGATCCCGGTACATCTTGATCGTTGTATTTAAGTCGTGAATTCAAGGCGGTTACCCGCATAGTCTCGAGCAAAGAAGCGCTCGGGGTACTCGACGCCCTTAGCACCGCTGTTCTCGGAGCCAGGGGCATCGCATGCTCTGGGGGCACCAGTGCCACCGCGCTGCCAGTGCCCGTAAATCTTGCGTCGCAACTCAAGAAGCTGATCACCGTCGGCGACGCGAAAGCATGGGTGACGGCGGGACTCGAAGGAGAAATCGACTGGCTCTCCGAAGGCGACATGGACTTGCTGTCCAGATGTACCGATGTCGAACCAGAGAAGAGTACCCTTTTGTAAGGCAGGCACAGCACGCGGGGTTAGGCCTAATGTCTCGCCGTAGAAGGCCGCCGCGTCGTCTAGGGTGTCCGGAGGGACAACGAGGTTGATATGATGAAGGCCGGTTATCATTTTCGCGAGTGGAGAGATGGAGGTGGTGACTTTGTGCGTTGTGATAAGTTTTAGTTGATGTTTCTTTTAATTTTATGCCTCTAATTGTTCAGCCCCCTCTATTCATACGAAAGATGGACAATTACACTAGCGGTTTTCTACCTATTGAATCTATTGTAGTCGCCTAGTTTACCCGGAAGAATTGGGGGTATGTGGGGGAATATCCGGTTACACCTCAACTCAGACTGTGCGAACTAGGTAGCGCGACTGAGCGACGTTGTTACCAGAGCATCATACCCTACCTGGGTACGCATCCACGCTGAATGAACATGAGGAGCCCATGATGCGGGATGGCTTCTGGAGGATTGTCTATTTACTTTCTTACATTCCTTGTCTTTTGCATATCCTTGGTTTTACTGGTGATTTAATCAGGTGTCGCAATGACATGATCTAACCAAGCCCCCCGAGGTAGAAAACTGCCGACTGCACGCATAATACGAACAGTAATGCCTTTGTTGTTCCACGATGCAGGCGACGGGATAAATAATTCGTAATATAATAACAACGCATGATCGAGATACTTCATGACCATTCACTCAGGTCACATTCATAAGTAGGTACCAGCGTAACAATCGCCAGTACAGTTCAGGACCACATGTGACTAAGGCATACAGTAGTAATTACTCGCCTACCATGCCCGTATTAGGCTGACGTCTAGATTGGAGAATTAGTGACTGTAGTATCCGAACCCTGTTCTGATGCGTAGCATTCAAACCTTCTAATATATAATGATAGTTAACGCAACCCTGATATTCATATCCTTGCCCCAAGAAACTGGCTTCAAGTAACTTTCTAGCTTATATCGAAAATCTACTACTACAACTTCATGGAATAGAGAGCGGAGCTGTGTGGTAGTTTGCATGATGTACCTGAAGCGATTATAGTGTAGTCTACGTAGTAGATTTTAACTGATTTGTTCGACCTGGGGTTACAGCCTAGGTAGCACCTTGGCACTAAACCTCCACTGAACCGTGGGGCCTTGAAGGCGCTGAAGAAGTCCTAATCAACTGCGTCTTCTACCTAGGTAGAATACAGAATGAAAGCGGCCCGAAACAGCTTCAAGATTGAAGGGTTACCTCCTTAAGTAGTGAGTTAGGTGAATAGGTGGCAGATGAATATTAAGATAGATGCGCAAGTTGCATGGGAGCCTACCTACAACTAACTAACTACTTGGAGTAAAACAACCTGGCCCGTGAGAAAAGTAGCTATTTATCTTGAAAGTCTTTTTGCTTCTTTTAAGATTCGCACCCATGGTCGCAGGTGATGAAAGTTGTTGGGAACCAAGTTACCCAGCTTTCCCTCAAGTTGTGACTCACTCAACTAGGTACGCTAACAAACCTGAAATGCATCAAACCTAATGGTATCGGCACACCTATGCCTGTGCAAACTTTCAATTGTAAGAAGAGTGAAAGCGTTCCCATACGCTCTATTCATACCTGAATCGCCTTAATAATCTTTAGCTAAACGGTGTCGACACAAGCAGGGTTCGATACCTGACGGCGCTATTGGTATTCGCTGCTTCGCTCATTTCTCCCCGCCCAGACAACCAAGTCTCACCAAGACATGAAGCTGCATACAAAGTGAATCTGATGAAGAGATACCTAGAGAGCTCTCCAACTTTTACAGCCTAGGTCACTCATTACCTGGCTATCTACCTAGATAGCCAGGGGGGGGGGGGGGGGGGGTAGGAAAATGGTCACAGCTAGGTTAATAGGTCCTAACAACCTAATACAGCTATATAAAGCTAGCTACAGCGAAATATCATAAGTACTTTACTTTTATATATAAAGCCTTATATTTTTAATGTACCTTTTACTTTAAATTATATTTTTAAATGAAATGTATGTTGAACATATGTTGAACGAAATGTATTTTTAATGTATGGCTATGTTTGACGTATAACTATTGTATAGCTTAATATTCATTTAATCCTTTCCCCCTACGGTATTTGACGAAGGCTACGAAACCTTCCGTTAAAGTCCTGAACTACGAAGCGATTGCGATAGGTTTCCTAGCCTTCAGGGTGGTGGTGGTGGTAGTAGTAGATTGGATTGGATTGATCCTTGCAGCGATGATCCTTGAAACTGGCGATAGATTGGATTGGTTGAATAAGTGGCTAGGCCTGTATGGCTAGGTCTGTATAGCTAGGTCTATACGGCTATGATAAACGAATGGATTGCCAAGGGGTTGTATTGATGTTGTAGAGTAGAAGTTCTAGTTACTGAAGGAATCCACTGTGAGGGGTAATATAGCCACTCCCACCGTACCTGCCATCAGCTACGGCTGTATTGGCTGTACTGGCTGTAGGGACTGGAGGGCCTGTAAGGGCTGTAGGGGCTATAGGGGGCTATAGAACATGATGTTCAACACCATGTTGGAATCATGTTGGAAAACGAACACGATTTCGAAATAAAGTCATTTCTAATAAAAATACTGTCAGAATGCTAACATAATTTAATGTAGGTATACTTTTAATCGAAACATCTGTGTGTCAATCAATTGGGCTAAATATAGTGAGTTCACTCCAGAGAATATCTAACATAAATTTCCTACCCCCCCCCTGGCGCGCTAAGGTACACAGAACACCTAGGTTAGGGGTCGAACCTAACTCACCTACTTACTGTAGTGTATTTTGCCACAACAACAAAGCTGAGTCTACCTACTTCGTAGTCGGAAAAGAGTGCGGCTCTTGGTCTATTTTTAGGTATTGAAGCAAACTGAAAATTAAATGTCCGACGTTGCATAGTGCATGAGCCCAGAAGTATGATTGAAGATGATTCATCCAACCCTACACCCAGAACGGAAAGCCAGCTTGTCAGGACCTCATTTTTGCAGAGAATGGCTTGCATTTCCCAAGTACTATGCAGCATCGACAATTGAGTTTTTACTCTTTTGTCTTCGAAACTATGAAGTCATTGGCGGGGCGCTGGAATTGAGGCCCCTTTGAGGCGCTTGCGTTGGGCTTGGCGACGTGCGGCCGGAATACGAGCAATGCGGGCATAGTAACTCAGGATGCGTCATCTAATAATATAAATATGATCTTTAACTTCATAGCGCAATGTAGCAGGTAGGCATCGCCAATAACAATCAGGGAGTACTAGCTCTTAGTTAAGTTGCAATTTTTCATTATTTGTGCTGGCGACGCCCGAGAACCTAACTGGAGATTACATGACCTCTCACCAAATCGGTGCAAGTTAATCAATTACCATAATACCAGACACCATGGAGAAGAAATTAGACGAGATATTGAAATCATACGTCGTCACTCAGGCCAACACAGAGGTCAGAAATAAACTGTTAGCAGCGGGATTCGTAGTTGTCGACAGAAATGGTAAGAAAATCACATACCTAATCATCCCCCTTCTATACCCCTGACATGCGACTACCAATACTAACGGTTCGTCTAAAGGAGTTGTGTACACAGACACTGCCGGACGTCTAGACTTCGACCCATCGTCTCCGGCGTACGGGCCAGATTCAATCTCATGGCTAGCATCAATGAGTAAGCTCGCGACAGCGGTGGGCTTGCTGCTTCTCGTGGAAAGGGGTATAATCGGCCTTGATGATGACATACGCGGAACACTGCCAGAGCTCGCGGCGCTCCAGGTGTTGCGTGGGTTTGACGATGATGGGAAACCTACTCTGGAAGCCCACGGGCGCACTATTACCTTAAGGTAACTATCTCCCCTTATTACAGTATTCCTCACGTTTATTTAGTCGAGCATGCGCACTGTTAACAAAGTCGCAGACACCTCTTATCACACACATTAGGCATGGGCGTAGACATGGCGGACCCCGACCTAATCCGCTGGGCTAAATACACCAGGCGTAGCACGAATTACATGAGCTACACGTTAGAAGGGATCACGACGCCCCTGAAGTTTGCGCCCGGAGAGGGCTGGTACTACGGGACAGCATACGACTGGGCGGGCTACTTGCTCACAAAACTCACGGCGTCGTCTCTGTCGGCATACCTGCAAGACAACGTCTTCGGTCCCCTTGGCATGGAATCTACCACATTTCGTCCGTCGAAGAGTGAGAAAGAGCGTATGCTAGCGTTCGCATACGCGCAAACCGATGAAAAGGGAGGTATCGTCCTTAACCCTGGGCCCTCGCCCATTCCCGATGAAATCGCTTTCGAAGCAGGCGGGTCTGGATTATTCTCCTCGCTCGCGGATTACGGGCGGTTATTACATGGGATTCTGGCGCATAAGATTCTGAGCCCGGAGACCACTGATCTCCTATTCGCGTCGCAGCTGAACGATGCGCAGAAAGACATTCTGATGGCTATTGCGGCGTATGCGCGGGACGGCGGGTTTACGCCTGAACTGCCGAGAGATGCGCCGCTCGATCATGGATTGGGCGGGGTTTTGAACGTCGAGGATGTCCCTGGGAAGAGGCGAAAGGGAAGCATGATGTGGAGCGGTGCGACGAATGGACGCTGGTGGATTGATCGGGAGTCGGGGCTCGCGGGTGCGGTGTTCACGCAGGTTGAGCCGCATGGGAATAAGATCCTGGTGAATATGTTTGATGAGCTTGAGCGGACCGTGTATGAAGCTCGACGAGTCGAGAAGGAGAACAGCTTGGCGTGAGATGGGCAGAAATGGAGGCATGCGATATTTCCGTCTGGTATGTTCTTGTAGATATAACATCTGAGATCTCGTATATACATACCTTATTCAAATCCATGAATGTGTATATCTCTAAATGACCAATGCCTAATCTGTATACGGATCATTTGTTCCCTTCTTCAGCTTCTCTCAACCGGTGCCTGCTTCCCCCTTTTCTTCCACGCGGCTTAATGAAGTAGTACTGCCATGATCATCACTACCCCCTATTTCCGGACTCCTTAAATCCCACCCGCCACTCCAACCAACCCAACCTTTCTCATGGGGCCCCTTGACGAACAACAGTAACAGAGCAGTGCCCAACTGCGCAATATTCAGCGCACCCGACCACGTCCATCCGCCCTTCGCATAAAGTGTATTCCCCACCGCCGTGCCAAAGAGCTGCCCTCCAAACGTGAAGATCATATACACCGAATTGACAGCATTGTGCGCAGTTAGATCGACATTCGCGATGGCCATCCTATTAGCCACAATGATAGTGTTGACCCCTAGATCTCCAAGGAACGTCCAAATAATCGGCCCCGCAAGCGAAAATGTCCCCACGAATGTCCCTACAAGCACGGTGGAGAGTGTAACTAACAATCCGATGATGAGTGTGCCATGTGTATGGATGCGCGACGTGAGCAGTCGCGAAACGACCGGATTAAGGAACACGGGGGATATACCGCCCAGCGCAAAAAGTCCTATGGCCAGCGTAGATAACTTGAAAACTTCGGCGAGCTGAAATGTGAGAGTCGTCCAGAAGCTTGTGAACATGCCCATAGATAGAAACGCAACTAGAGACATCTGCGTGAGCACTGGGCTGAGAAAAGGCAGTTTCACTATTCGCCATAAGATAGCAGGATATGATGTTCCCGGGCGCGCAACGGGGTAGTCCTTCAGGAAGAAGAAAAGAAGTATGAAGATGAGAGCTTGCAGCCCGAAGGAGAGCCAATAAACCGTTCGCCAGGAAGTATACTGGGTTATAATGCCGCTTATAAGACGCGCGATGAGAATGCCGAGGACAACGCCGGACATCACTACTGAAGTCATCGTTGCCTTATGTCGCGGCGGCGCATACTGGACTGTTAGGGGGAACATGAGCTGAGGCGTGACGGTGAGTAGTCCCACGAGGAATGAGAGGCCTAAGAAAGATGAGAACGAGGTGGTAAGGGTACATCCCAGCCACTACACCGTCATTGTCAACAAGACTGAAACATAGCTAGGTAGGTGAACTGAGTGATGCGAGAAGAGAACTCGTACCGCAAAAGCAGTCGAAGAGACAAGTCCCAGCACAAGATATCGTCGACGAAGGATATCTCCCAAGGGAATCACGAAGAGCAAACCCCCTGCGTACCCGGCCTGCGTCACGGAGGGAATGAGCGCGGCACGCTCGTTGGACACCCCGAATTCATCTGCGAGGATATTGAGGATCGGGTTCGTGTAGTATAAGTTCGCCACGCTGAAGGCGCCGGCCTACGATGGTCATCAGTCAGTCAGATATTTGGCCTTATCCAGGTCCAAGACACCAAATTGTATCGTCCATTCAAGAAACCCCCTTATTACCCGGATTGAGAAGAAAATAAAAAAACATACAAACCCAAAGATCACGACAAGACCCCAAGTAAGTTCATGATCAGCACCATCATCCCAGCGAAGCCAAGACGGCATCCAAGCAATAAATCGCACGAGACGACCCATCCTCGCGCGAGCATCGACATCAGTCATGGCAACGATAAAACCTACTCTAAAGATTATCTTAAATCCTTCTCATTTGAACAAGCACCCCATCTCACCCTTCCTACCCGGTAAAACACACAATTCCACCCCCAGCCAAGCCGACCACGCACCATAGCGTCGGAGATAATTAACCGGGTCCTACCGGCAGTAATCAACTCCTCCCTCCCTACCTATAGTAAGTAGGTCATATCAATAGAAGAAAGAACCGGGGGAGAGGGGGAGAGGGGTATACGACTCAGGCCCACCCTTTTTACCTTGCGCCGACGTGTCTACATCATCATAATCATCATATATAACCCAAATAAACAAACAAACCAATAGATAAAAGACAGAATTCACAGAAAAAGGGGAAAGAAAAGGGGGAAAGGCATTCAAAAGACTAGACCAGGATATCTTCGTGTCTAACTCCTAACTTCACCAGCAGAAAGGAAAGAAAGCATCAAGGCAAGGCGCAAAAAAAAAAACAATAATAGTTGAGCTTAAGGGGAAACAGGGTATAAGAAAGACACGGGGCCCTCGGGATCATGTCCTACTTAAATGAAGGAGACGTCGAAGACATGAGAATGTCTACGTGGACGATGCACGCGTGTATTGCTCGAGCTACACATTGCTATGTCACGATACCAGTACATACCGCTCTCTACCCCAAATGTCACTCACATTCATAGCACTCATAGCATGATGAATAGCCCCTGACTTCCCACATGGTGATATTATCGCAATAAGGGTAGGGACGATAGGGCAGCCCATCAAAGAAAGCCATACAACATAATCGTATTATATAATTCTATGAGTCCTTGAGTAGCGCAAGCAAGCAAAATGTAATAATCTCCCGGCGCCAGCTTCCGCATTAAGAGATAAGTAGGAGAGCAGGGACGCAAAAGATCAAATCTATTTGAGTATGAATCATCTGATCCATGAGGCTCCTCAGTCCGCGTCAGGGGTTTCTCTGATAAAAACGTGCCGCCGGAGTTGAAGGAGGATAAAAGAAAGAATTCGCATCATTTCGTATCGTGCTGTAGCGTCTGTGATGTTTCCAGCGGCGTCCCCGTCGTCGCAGCGCTATCGCCCACTTTCAGCTCTTCATCGGGCACGCCGACTCCAATGCTACCCGTGAGAGCCCGACGCTCATCCCGACGACCGCCTGCGATCCCCGTGCCACCGCCCACCACGCCGCCGACGCCAGTAGTCCCGCTCACGCTGACGCTTGTAGCAGTGCTACCGCTCTCGCTTCTGACCCGGCCTATTCCAACTTCGCTTTCTCTGCGATCCCTAAGCATCCTTTCAAGATCCTTAACCCGCTTCTTCAATGCCTCGTTCTCGCGCTTCGCTACCTCCAGCTCGCTTCGGTAGTGCGCCGTCTCTTCGTATCGCAGAGTGGCCGGCATCAGCCCTGGCGAGAGCTCTGATCCGGGGGTAGCGGCGACACTGGCATTCGAAGAGGTCCTATCACGAACGAAATACCCCGGGCCATAATCTTGAGGGAATCCATGTTGTTGTGAATGCGAAGATGGCAGAAAGCCGGATGTGGCTCCGTAAGGCTGTGGAGACCGGTTGCGACTTGAGCTCCTATGTGAAGTCGTGCTGTTCTGCCGGCTCATCCCAGTCGGGCCACGTGGGTTTCGGGCAGCTTCTAGTACGGAAGCGGCATTTCCTGAGTGCGTTTGCGGGATGGGGATTGGGGCAGTAGATGATCCTTGGGTAGCGGCCTGACTTAAACTGCCTCTGCTAGCTGTGGAGCTAGTCCGATGATGTCGACGGGCCGTCGGGACTGGGAAGCCTGGGCCGGAAAACATGTGGGTATCGGTGAACGAGGACGGATGCAGCTGATCGATGGCAGAGGTGGAGGCACTCGCTGACGATGCGTTTGATGCTACAGAAGAGTTCTGGGCCATTCGCAGCATGGTCAAGTCTCGTGACAACCGGTTGACCTAGCACTAGATGTTAGATGGACGGAGGAAAGATGATCAGAGAGGGCACAGGGTATGGACAGCCTGTCGTACCAGCAATTCCTGTTCTTGTTCCAACTGGGAGTGCAGTTCGGCAGCGGTCAAGGGACGTGGGTGACGAATAGGACCGGGACCAGCACCAACACCAGTGTTATCCTGACCTGGCACGGGCGGGGGAGCCATTCCATTGGAAGAGGGGAGAGGGGGGGAAGGGACATAGTTGGCAGATCCCTCTTGGAAGGCCTGCTGGTTAGAAGGAAGGATATTGAGGGACGGCGATGTAGACACCGCAGGGGGTGGCGATGAAGCTCTCTGGGACGGTTGCTGGGATCGGGCGGCCTGGGCTGAAGATGTGCGATGGGCACGGGCAGCAGCAAGACCCTGTGGCGTAGGAGGGATGGAGTTGAGGTCAGGCATTGCACACAGTGAGTGGTATAGATATGTGCCCGTCTATAACGAAGTGTCTACTTGCTTGTTGGAAGAATATCAGGGAAACTCGAATGTTGGAGCACGACAGGGATGACGCGAAGAAGAGTGTGAGATGGGGAACCAAAAAAAGAGGTAGACAACAATAGCTGTGAGGTTAAAAATCGAAGAGCGTACTCTATACTCAGTCACCACAACATTTGAGACTCGAGAGTCATCCTATCCTGTACAGCATGTGTACATCGGTGGACAGTACCTGAGCAGGAGGTACTTCGTATGGACCTAAGTAGGTATGGAATGTCTCACGTCGTCCCACTGCGGTTATTGGAGGGGTAGGTGTTTGTTTAGGTGGATGGGTAAACTGGCAGATCAATTGAGGGAAGCAATGGTAGTGGCCGCCGTGGCTGTAATGGCGATAGCGATGTGATGATGATGATGATGATGATGATGGTGGTGGTGGTGGTGGTGGTGGTGGTGGTGTGGTGCAATAGTGCGTGCGTGCTATGGTGATGCGGGATGCATAAATGGAAAGCAAACCGCTTTGATGCAAGGTTGAGGCGAGGCGAGGCGAGGCGACACGAAGCAACACAACACAACACAACATAACACGATACAAACACAAGAGAGAAGAGAGAAGAGTCAACAACACGAACACGCACGACGTGACGCTCTAGCCTCCGGGGGTCACAATCTACCTATTCCGAAAGATAGATAGATACCTCGATAGATAGATACCTACTGTAGACAGACGTATACCTACGTGGTCGCGTTTGGCGGTCAACTAAACTCGTCGTTATTCTTCGTGCTCTTCTTCGTCGGCTGCTACACGCAACAACCACCAACACTCCCGCCCAATCTGACGTGGGGTAAAACGACTTTGCTTGACGTCCATCCCTCAATTAACCTTAACTAGTTATGCATTAGTTATCGACTGCGACAGATAGACTAGCTTAGGTAAGCGAAACGAGGGACATTTTCTAAAATGCGAGGGTCTGTTCAGAGCCTGTTCTAACAGATACCTAGGTACCGAATACGTATTTGTGGCTTCAAGCTGTGGCTGAAACACAGCCTCTTTGGAGCTTCTATGTACTATGTACATATCCACTGCAGCTCATCAGTACTCCACGAAAGCCCACTATTTTCCCACAGCTGCCTGCTAAGCTCATGAGGAGCTCTCAACATATGACGACATATATAGATATGACTGAGACTCATCGACGATTGAAGCGAAGTGCGGTACTCACTTTGTAGCCGGAGCTTTTATCCCACTTCTCTAACACAGTAGATGAGTACATGTAATGGGGTAAGTAGGTAGGTATGTAGATGGTCTTAGTAATGTATGACGTTGTTCCCTCGTCGTAGTCAGTATATAGATAGTCCAAGCAGTTAATTCACAATTACTTCCATCTCAGCAAACACCATCCATCACATCGACTTTCTACTTCAAGATCCAACAATAACAAATAGTTCACATTAATACATACCTTTCAAACCTACCAGCCACCATGTCTTCTGCATCCAAGAACGAAGGCCGCCAATCCCCTCCCCCGCAACAGCAGAGCGGCGCCCAGCTCCACGACGCCCCTGCCTCGGGCCAGGGCACCGACAACGCCGCCAACAAGGACCAGACGAACCAAGACCAACTCAAGGTCAGCAACTTCCCTCCTTCTAATTCGAACCAATGTTAACTCTGACTCTCCTACAGAACCTCACATCAAACCCCCCGGGCCCCATGGACGCCAGTCTGGAAGAGAAATTCGCCAAAGGCGCACACAAACAATAAACCCAAAAGACAAGAGAAAAAAAACCAACAAACACACAAAATCCTCTTCAACATGAATGAGGGAAAGGAATAACGCTGATTCGCGGGAGTAGAGAGCAATTCGGACATATGTTAAGTACCTAGTTATCACGTCTCGATGCGGGAGTACGTAACAGGATCCAATGATTTGGCGTTGGAGCGGATATAGCCTTTTTAATGACTGAATGAATGAACATAATTAGTTATGGGAAAACGCTTGTTATTTACTTCTGCTTGGATTGAACCGTGCTGAAAAGTGATTGGCGCGCATGCTGTTTTCGCGATGACTTCTAAAGCCTATAGCATAGAAATGGAGTATGCTGTATTAATCCCAATTGATTGTGTTCAGAATAAGTTGATACGTGCATAATGAGTAGGTAATCAACAGCTCTATCCCTCAATCATTGATGTCCGATTGTACTCTGTTAATAGTCTAATCACCTATGAAGATAGGCTAAAATTCATGATAACGACTTTGATTTCAAATTGCTATGTAGCAACTGGGATATGGCCCAGGTACGCAGCAGCCTGCCGATAACAAGGTGAGATAAACTAGGAAAACAAGACAGCCCTTTTCGTTACCAACCTTCCGCCCCGCAGATTAAGATAGAATACACTCGGGTCATCATAAGTCATGAAACTCGTCAAAACTAGCTGTCCATACAATCAACCAATGCCTTCTTGTACCTTCTTAAGCCTTCTTTTCATCTGAAGCTACTCCGGCATAGCTAGCGCCTCCTGTGGTGCCAGGCGCCGCGCCTTGAGTAGATGCACTGGGTGTGGGGTTTGAAGATGCTGTTTATCGCCGTAAGTACGGTACAAATTTACCAGTTGTTGGAGAATGGGCATCTGAATAGAGGGAGCCATGGGATATCTACTCACCAGATTCGGATCCAGGGGCCGTAGCCTCGGGCTTCTCCTTCTCCTTGCCAAAGACACGCTCCAACCCGGCAGCTTTGTAGGCGCTGCCGCCGTGTTCTTCCTTCTTGAGCTCCTTCAATCGCTGGGCTTCATTGTGGATGTCTTGGGCTTGGCGGTGGCTGTCAGTGTAGAACTTGACTAGCCGTTTGCCGGTTGGGGTGTTCGAGGCCTTTTCGAAGTATGAGGTCAGACCGCCGAAGAGACTGGTTGCCCGGTTGGAGATGCCATAGGACTGGTCGGCCGCCTTGGCACGGTCAGTGGCATGGAATTTCTGGTCGAGTTGGTTCAAGGTGTTCATGAAACGCGTAGACATGCCACTAGTGTAATCAAGTGTTAACAAGCTGTGACAGGCATAACGGAGCCGAGGGAGCTCGGGGTGGCAAAGAGCGCAGGATCGCATACTGCTTGTGGTCGAGATCTATGGCCCGCTCGATAGCAGCGTCGCCGACTACGTAGCCATGGGCCAGGTACTCGGCGAGGATGCGACTGCGGGGTTTCTCCTCCTGTGTGATTTCGTCGGTATCACGGTCGGCGTTGGTGGTATGCGGGACACTGTCGTCGCTTTCGCCGGCGGCGGCCGTGACTTGGATCTGAGAGGAGTCAAGCTCAGTGTTATTCAGGAGCTGGGCTGTCTTGGCTGCTGTCTCCTTCTCGAAAGTTACGGTGGCATCCTGGGTCCCGTCGTCAGCCTGGGAGACCTTTACGTCGGTGATCTTGCCACTGTCGAGGTAGATTGGTTAGCACATGAGGTTGATGATGGGGGCGGGTATAGATGGCGCTCACCAGAAGCTGAAGAACTCTCTGATCTGCTGCTCCTTAGTTTGAGCAGCGATCTTCTTAACGTAGACAGTGGTGTTAGAAGCCATTGTAGCGCAGGGTAGTAATAATTAAAGAGACGTGGATGAGGATAGTAGAAGTGGTAGGTCTGATTGTGCGAGCTACGGCAGAGCTAATTTATTTATGGATGGTTGATGATCACGAATATAGGCAGCCGGCCTTGGAAGCATCTAGTAGTCTATGTAGGTAGTCTAGGTAGGTAGTCTAGGTAGGTAGTCTAGGTAGGTAGTCTAGGACAGTAGGTAGTAGCCAAGCCAAAATCCCATGACATTCTAACACCTATCTCTAGTAAAAAAAGAGATGGGGGAGATGAGGGGCGCGAGGTGGGAGGCCTGCCGTCCGGGTGTACCTGCCTACGAGTCTAGATACCTACGCAGTACCGGCTGTTTGGTGTCCAAGAGCAGCCCGCCCAAGTACTCTCTTTGTACCTTCATACTATTCATACCTAGGTAGGTAGGTTTGGGTGATGCATCGCAGTAGAGCATTTACTGGATGAAGACCTGGCAATCATTGGTCCAACAGCAAGACACAAACAAGCCATGGTAAATTTACTGTAGAGACCTTGGGGCAGACTTGGGACTGGAATGTGCTGCGCTAGTACTCTCTACCTTATGGACTGATATGATACAGGCAGCATTCTTTGAAACGAGGGGCTCGAGAGCCCAAAGCAGACCAAGCAGATCAAGGGAGGGGAGGGCGACCTGAGGGGTCAAAACGCATACGTCATACTTTTATTGGTGCATTTGGCTAAAACTAAAACTGGCCGCGCTAGGGACGCGTCTACATACAAGTACACCGGTACTTAAGTACTTAACTACATGTAAGTAGATAAGTACCTCCTTGTGGATCTGGATGGATAAGGCGCTGCGTTATCATTACGCAATAGTGTGGCGCAGCATCTCTATCGACTTTGGATCAGGCCTTAGAGGTCTCTGTGGCTGATCTTAGAGAGCGGTACAAAGTACCTAGGTACCTGCTTTCACATGCCAGAGCTCACCGCGTTCAGCGAGAGCTCTAGTAGACTCGTCTTTTTCACTCCTTGTGGTCTCTCTCTTCGGTCAGCTCTGGTCTATCTATCTACCAGACGATCATGGGTTTTACTCGTAGTCGCCGACATCACAAACTACGCCAAGCTAGTGATGACCTCCCACGCCTTCGCGATGCTCGTACGCATGCAATCGTCGTCCTGCTCGCCTAGTGCCACCCGCCAATCTCACGCTCAACCACGATACCCACGCTAACGCCAGGCCAACGACGACCCCGAATGCCGCCAGACCAATGCTGGTCCAAAACACTGCCCTGCTCCCTCGCAGTCTGCTATGCACTGTCAACTTGCCACCGATTGTGCTTCTTTCCACCGTGCCCGCGATCCCGAGACCCATGCCAATGCTATAGTACGAGGCCATGCACACCAGCGTAGCTGCTTTGCCACCGTGTTTCTTATGGACCACGTTCACAATCATCCTCGTGGCTACGGGGACGCTCGTATAAACTCCCCATGCCATGAATAGCACGCTTATGAAGAGATGTTCCCAGTAAGCCTGCTGTATGCGCATGGCCGCCATGATAGCAGCTCCTATCAGTATGCTCACCAGCGCAGCACAAAACATGACATGTAGCCCAACTGGACGCAGTATGAATGGCGTGATTGCTGCACAGAAGCAGCCAACGATCACCATGGGTGAGAAATATGTCGTCGTCTATGTACAGCTTTGTCAGCATAACAACTCCCCATCCGGACATTATGTCACTTACCACCACTGGTGTTATCAACTGGAGTGTTTCCACAAACTGCCAGCCATAGAAGATCCAGATCCCAAAACATGACCAGCCACATCCAACGGCCACCAGGATCCAGAATACCTCCCAAGATATTGCCGAGTATGGAATTAGGGGCTTCGGCGCGTAGCAAGCCTCAATCATGACGAATAATGCTGCGAGTATGATACTCATGGACAGGATCACGCCGATATATACCTCTTGCCACCCCACCACAAGCGCTTGGTTCCAAGCAAAGCCAAAGAACCCGAGAGAGAGCCCACCAGATAATATACCAGGGAGATCAAGCTCCAAGGTAATACCACGCGCTCCAGGTGGTAAATCACGTCGATTAGAAGATGAGCGAATAGTGAAGTGACTGATTGTTGCGAGTATTACGAGCGCTATAGAGAACGCCCAGTATGCCCATGGCCACCACGTCAGCATGACAAACCCACTCGCACCAAACGCCCCTACTATGAGGCCGATTGGCGACATAGAGGCGTGAATCGCAAATATCACCGTCTTGCGGATACCTGTCGGTCGTGCTACCGCCCTCAGCAGGGACAGGCCAGTTGGGAGAGTCAAAGACGCGCCTATCCCCTGGAAAGCTCGGCCGACGATGAAGAGCGATCGAGTCGAGTAGAACGACGTGCCGGTAACAAGGGACCAGATAGCTGACCACGCTAAACCTCCGACGAATACTTGCTTGTTACCAAATATCTCGCCCAACCTGCAAGCAATCAAGACGAACGTGCCCAGAGCTACAGCGTAGGCTGCTATAGCCGGGCTGAGGTTATTAGCATTCGCAACATGGAACCGAGACCCTGCACCCTCCATAATGGGCAAGGTTTGGCCAATCCCTACTTCTATTGCGGAAGTCAGCTATCAGATCTAGTAGCATCGAAGAGACAACTGCGAAGTACCGACTCACGAGCACATAGCTGAGCAGTACATATCGTTGCGATGAGAAGAGTGTCGGAGATCGAGGACGTGCTCGAGTTCTCTTGCGGCATTTCATCCTCTTCGGGGACTGTTGGTAATCGTTCCAGTGGTCTTTCTTCAGCTATACTACTACTGACAACACGGGGCTCTGACGACACGCCAGATCCGCTGGGTATTGAAGGGGCTTGTCGCATCTCGATGGCAAGGGGCTCGGGCATGGCTGATTCCCGCCTTTCTGTGCGGCGCGATAGAAACGAGAACGGAGAGCTAGCGGGATACGAGGAACGGTCGTCTCCGTAACCGTCATCGTACTCTTCGTCATCATCACTGTCGGCTGAGAATCTCGACACAAGCCCCCGGTTATTAGATTGCCGCGGCCTATTGTTGTTGCTGTTCATGCCATTATTCCATGTGTCCAAGTCGCTGATGCTGTGAAGTCCGAGATCGCCACCAGTGTCGTGGCTCCAGACCGAATCTCTGTAAAACCCCCCTTCGGCCGCCATGATTTACTTGTTGATATTTTTGACACAATATGAGGGAAAGGAGCCAATTGCCTGTCCCTTGATATGACACTTGAGACGTGGTGAGTTCTATTGTCTAGGTGTGGCGTTTCCTCGTAGGTTGAGTGTATTGCGATATCTAGCGAGCATCTTTCATGGTTTGTATTAACCTGTATTTTGATGGCACAGAAACTTGAATTATAACCTAGCTGAGGAGCTCATATCTGCTGAGCGGCTGGTTGTAGTGTATGCGGGAAACAAGTTTCGCGCATTTTCTAAACTATTCTCGTCACATTGCGAACTTTATCTCTTGATAAGCTAGCTGCAAAACGCTCATCTACATTCAAACCAGGATAGAGGAATATTACGATTCTACTGCAATATAAGGAACTCAGCACGAAAGTCTATGCTAACTTATTGTGCGGGTTGTAGCGGTGCGGTCCACCTCGTAGCCGCCGGGCCTCCGTTTTGCCATCGGCATGTTGACCTATTAAAGTACCGTATTAAGAAAAACGGAACAGTCGAACCTGTTAGAATAAAGGATATGTCAATAAATAATGCGATATAGGTACCTTATTTAGTTAGCGTCGACCTGTGCTAACATTTAAGTGCCTCTATCACCATTGTCCCTGTCGCCCTTGCACGATTGGAATCGTTTGATTTTAGTTCGTTCATTCACAAGAATAGTATAATAACATCAGGCAGCATTCCTGACACCCTTTCCATACTAGAAGCATTACTTGGCGATATAAAAGTACAATTTCGGATCATGAATCGTCACCTCCCAACTCTCTCCCCGCTCGCGTTCCCCGCCAAAGCCCACGACATCAACGAACGAGCTTTCGGCGCTGTACCTTAAAGTAACCGTATTCTCCAGAGAATCGAGGCGCAAACCTGCGCCTGAGCCTGTGGAATCGCCGATCCAATGAGGCGCATCATCATCAGCTGCCGCAGCTTTGATCAAATCGAGGAGCGACGTGCCCCCTTTCTTCCACCGCAGTTGTCGGAATGTGGGCTGGAGCTGGAAAAATATCCGTCTGCCGACTGATGGGGGAGAAGAAGGGGCGGGCATGTAGACTCCGACTACAATCTTGGGAGTGACATCTGGTCCCGTGGAGAATATGACGATGTGCGAAGACTCGGGGCTCGTGAGTGTTTGGGCCAATCGGCGACTTATGCTGCTGGACTGAGATTGGGACTTGGCCTCTTCTAGGACCACCCTGGTGCTGCGGCCTCTGTCACTACTCCTGACGATGTCTGGATCGATCTCGGGTGCAAACAGTGACAGGGCCGCACCCATTCCCAGATCCTCTTTCGCTTCCACTGTTGCACTAAGTTGAGTCTGAGGAGGCTGGAACAGGACTTGCCAAAGCTGTTGGAACCGCAGCATGAGATTGGGCAGCCGTTTCTCCGCTTGAGACAAACGCTTCACCGTGATTTGCTCCCCTTCATTACTCCCTGCCAGATAATCCGCCAAACCCCTCATCATGTCGGTATCTCCAGTTTCGGCGAAGCGACCGGTAGAGAAGACGTCCAGTCCCCATCTCTTATCCCCTAGGCGCAAGCGCAGCAGGAGATCGATGAGTAGAGACAGCTGCTCCCGCTCGACTAGCGACGGGCGGTAGACAGCACGTTGTATCCCGTCCTTTCCGCACAACCTCTGCGCTGCGGCCTCGAGTGTCTGTGTCGAGGGAGAGTGATGGATTCTCTGTGGCCCGATCATGGCGAGGACACCCATGCAGTCATCCACAGCCGCACCAAACGCATCAGCTTTTTGCTCCTCCGTCTCCGGTGTCTCGACAACGGAGCCCGCGACACTAGAAAATAAGCGCGCGAAGCCGGCGGCCCGTGCGTGTTCAACGCCATCTTCACGAGCGAAATACTGCAACGCGTCGCGCGTGCCGAGGTATGCGTCACATTGGTATGCAGTCAGTAGCACGCCGCGCTGGAATTGCGACAGCGTGATGACGTTTTCTTTGAGCTGTAGAGTCCTGATAGGGAACGGGTGCCGCGCGTAGAAGTTGAAACATCGCCATAGCAGCTGAATCTGGGGCTCTGGGATGATGGACGCGGGGTATGCGGCCCGTATGAAATTGCGGAAGCTGGACTCATCCCAAACTTTTGTCCTCACGTCTCTTGTAAGTTAATGCGCCACGAGAGAGACAAGATGGACCTACGTTTTTCCTCCGGCTTCTCTTTTATCGCAATTGCGTAATTGCTAAATATGGACCTAAGCCGCTCGCGCTCCTGCCAGGGATGAAACTTCTCGTCAACGAGTAGTTTTTCTAGACCGGCGCAGACTGTCTCGCGAGTTGCCGCATCGAGATAACGCTGCTCGGGGCTGGTCGTGAGAGTGTGAATAAAGTTTTGCACCGTTGAGAACATAACGTTCTTTTAACCCTCGTGTTTCAAGAAACGGCATTCAAGTATAAAGACTATAGAATGTATCAACCGTCTTGTTGAATGAGGTTTGGTGATGAAGTTTGGCTGAGGTCAGATGTGGAAAGGTGAATCAAGTTGGAAAGGGGATGGGAGGGCGATGGCGGGGTTTATATGTTCAAGAGACTCACGTCACGTGCGTGTCTTCACATTACCCCTATCTTTCCATGCCCCGAGGTAGACAGCAACTTCACTTGATTATTTGACTTGACGCCCAGGGGTGGCTTCTCTATATGGCAGACTCTCGTCCCATCTCACAAATCGTCATGATAATTATATAGATCGAGTCCCCGAATAGATCAAATGTCTTCCCGAGGCGGACGGCCTGGCTACGTATACATCTCACCTGATCTTAGTCAGAAACGTTCGAAATGAACGACGAGCCTATAAACAATTGTGTGGAAATTCTGACCAGAGGGTAAATTTGAGCGATGGGCGAGGATTCATCACGTCAACCCGTCCAAAACATAAAATCGACCCGAAGCCAATCGCCTAAATTGATTCCCAAAAGCTAAGCATACAGCTATCAAATATCTGCTATAGCTTGAAACCATCACCATCCTAATCCTCAATTCGCTAAGCTCAACACCAACCTACCTAGCAATCATCCTATAAAGCGCCTCCGCAAACGTCTTACAATTATTCCCCGTGATGGCAAAATACGAATAGTCAGGATTATTCTTCGCAAAGTCCTTACCGAGCGTCTTGATCTGCTCGTACGTGAGGCCCGGCACGATCGCGCCCAGGTTCTGGTACGTTACCTTGCCCTTCTTCGCGTTGCCCGTGGGCCAGAAGTCGGGCGACGCGCTGCCGTCGTCACCGATGCCCCGGTCCGCGAACACGAGCTTGCCGTTGGCCTCGAGGATGTCGTACACGTAGCCCTTCCATTTGCGCGTCTGCGTCGTCGTCCGCTTGACCACGTCGCCGCACGCGTTCCTCTCTTCAGTCGATCTTGTTGTTATCTGGACGTACCCTGCGATCAACTGGTAGTGCGCTGGGATGGGGAGGATGCCTCCCGGGGGCCAGACTGGGAGTGAGCCGCGTGTTAATGAAAAAGAACTTTTGTAGGGAATAAGAAAGTCGTGCACGGTTATCGTGATGAATTTGGGGTCCAAGTTGACAATGACAGGTCTGATAGAGATAATTAGTTATGCTTACCAGCAAGAATGCCCCACCCGTCGCCATCTCTCCAGGAGTCGTCCCGCTTGTTAGCCACGGCCTTCATAATCTTCATCGGCGGATCATCTAGATAAACCGTCTTCTCGACGGGGTCAACACGCTTCTCCTTTGTCCTCCGCGTACACGTCGGCGAGCTCTTGTCACCCGACTTAGTAGGTGTCGCAGACTTTGGGTTCGACCGATCCGGGACGTCTGTAGGCTTCGTCTTAGGCGAGTCGTACTTGAGCGTCTGCGTCTTGCCGAAGACTTTGAACACCGACTTTCCTTCTTTCTCGATCCCCTTGACGCAACCCGCGATGATGGCGGGCGTCGCGGCGATCTCGGCTATGTCAAGGATCTCACCGATGATGGGGATGAAGCTCTCTGCGAGCTCAAGGGGCGCGAGAAGAGCGGGTACCGCGACACGGCAGAAGGCCTTCGCTGCTAGGTCCAGGGCTGCTTCCTCTGCCAGCGCGATAGCTGCGTCCTTTGCCGCGTCTTCGAGGTCGTCTTTGAGACTTGAGGCTTTGAGGTGATTATCGTTAGTGTCATATTCCCATCAGACGGAATGGGGAAAGGGGCTCAGCTTACTGGTAGGTTTGAAATCAGCACAGCAATAGCTCTGCGTGCCACCATTGCAGTTTTTATCACCTTTCTTATCATCATGCGAGTTCGTGTTCTTCGTCAACTCAGTCTCGCCCTCAGCACACCCGCCCACACAGCTAAGACCAGCACCACGATACCCCCGCCACTGGCACGTCCCAACCTCCGTCTTGGAGTCGCAGCACAGCGTCCTGTATGACTTCTTGCTGCATCTGTCCGAGGTACTCAACGAGCCAGGCTGCCCGTTAAACTGCGTGACGGCCGTCGATCCATCTTTGCAGCTCTCGCCGCAACCCGCCGTGTAACATGTCGCGCTAGCTACATTATCTAGGCTTGCTTGGTTGGCGTCGGCCTGCTGCGAGGCGGTGATGCCCAAGCCCGCGGCATTAGAAGCGCCGCCGAAACCGTTTTCTGCGCTCTGGTCTACCTGGTCAACGGCCCATACCATCATCCCGCCGAGGCAGCGCTTTTTAGCGAATTCAACCTTTTGCTTGAAGGTGTCGCCATCGTCATACGAGACCCATTGGTTACCACCCCAGGTGATCCATTTGACACCGGCCGTCTTGTCCCATGTCGGCGTCAGCGAGTTGGTGAGGATTATATCGGAAATCTCCTGGTAATCGAGGATTCCCGAGGCTTTGGAACACGGTCCGGCGTCAGCGCCGCCCGAGAATTGACACCGACCATTCGGTGTATTACAGCTCGGATCGGTCAGCGTGAAGGATCGGCCATACCAGCCCTGTCCCAGAACGACTTTGGTCGAGTCGATGCCGGCTCGCCACATGAGATCCAATGCAGCATCGATCTCAGTGATGTTGGTGTGAGGAGCGATATAGGGGCCTAGGAACATGGAATCGGCATCCCAGGTGCCGTGAAGATCGTACGCCATGACATTGAACCAGTCGACGGAGTCCTGCACCCCTTTGAGATCGAAGTGCTGCAGATACCAGTACGACGTCGGCAGCGTCATCGTCATGCCGTACTTGCTTCCAAACGCAGCACGCGCTTCTTTGGCAAAGGCAACGTAGTTCTTCACATCGTCGCTGTTGCCCCCTCTGTCATCGGCACCGGGGTACTCCCAGTCGAGGTCGACGCCGTCGAATCCATACGTGTCCATGAACTTGATCAGCCCATTGATGAACTTGGCCCGATTCCCCGAGCTGCTGACCATGTTGCTGAACGCATTTTGCGTCGGACCAGGGTCAGTGAAACTCCATCCGCCCACCGAGATCCAGACTTCCAGACCGGCTTTGGTCTGCTTCAGCGCCGTGAATCTCTCGTACAGCGACGCGGCATTGGCGTCCATGGGCGAGATTTGGAAACTCGAAGGGTCGAAGAAGGCAAACGCAAAGTTCATCGACGTGAAACCGTCAATATTGAGGTCCTCGGGCTTCACATTCTGGCATGACCGTGTGTTGGACCACGACTCGTAGTACCCGATGTTGCGCTTGCCGACGCTCGACCCTCCGCACGAAGGGCGCTTGACGTCGCCGCAGCCGCCGTACTTGGTGTCGCACTTGGAGTAGTTGTCGTCGTCCTTGTTGGTCCATTCGCAGAACTCAGTCGTCGAGCCGCAGAAGCCAAATTCGCTGCAGCAGACGTTCAGAGGGCATGATTGTGCCCCCTCGACCGCGTAGGGGCCGCAGCCTGCTTTTGCGTCACCTGCAACTTGTTAGTAACGCTCAACTTGATGAAAGGGGTTGCTTTTCTAGGTGTAGGTGTGTACGACTTACAGTTGTGCTGACATCCAGTCCCGCAAGACTTGGGTGAGTACCCGCAGAGGTTGTCTGTTCCACAGCAAGCCCCATTGACGCAGGGTGTAGCCGCATTGCATTCTCCGACAGGAAGTACGTCGCGAGAAGAAAGAGATAAGTTTCCAGAGGTACCAAATTTTGGTGGGTAATATGTAGGAAAGCCATTATGAGATTGGGCGAAGGGGCTCAAAGCGACAGGATTGTTCCTCACTGTCTTGGTTGAAGTCGTGAGGGAAAGGGAGACGACACTCACGAAGAGCGAAGTCCAGGGACTGGAGCGCATAGTAACGAATGTCTAGAAGGAGTGACGAAAGGGTGGGCGATCTTCTCGACGCCCTTAGCACGGAGGAGATGGCGGCAAGGTGGTGATGTATGTATGTATTATCTGCCTATGTCCCGAGCCACCATACCATCTAGGACGACATGGTGGTAAATAATCGGATGTCAGTTCGGCAGCAAACGGCATCGTTCATCACTTGGGAAATAAGGTCTCTTGACATGCCGCTTCGTAACCGAGCATTAACTCTTTCGCGCTTAGAGTCTAGGCCTCGAAACCTGATGACTTCCCACCCACACCAGGATCAAGAGCATCGTCAAGCAGTGATGTTGGTAAGCACAAGCTGTCAGCCTCATCTCATCAATCATGAAGATGGTCATGTGGTATGGGCTTTCACATGCATGATGCACGTTGTCAGGGGAAGGCACGCCGACTTCGGGTGAGATTGAGGTTCCATTTTCATCTTCGAGTTTATTGAACCCCGCACACATGGGTAAGTTTTAAGGATTCATCATGATTCTACGCTTGACCGGAAGCACCCGGATTTCTGTGAAGGCGGGAAGGCTGAAGAGCACTGTGAATTATGATTCGACGCGAAGTGCGCTTCTACACCTCCGGATGAGCATTGAGTGACCAAAAAAGAAGTTGGGAACTCCACGAGAGACCCTGGTATGCCCTCTTTGAGTGTCGCACCCCTCGGCTCTTTATCCTATACCACTTACACATTGAGAAGCATGTTTACTTTCTCCTTCTCTTCAAAATTTATACTGCTATTATAGAAAAGGCGTTAATAGAGCACAGCTCTGTACCTAAAGTAGCCAAGATACCAAGAGATCGCGGCCAAGGTAGATCCCATGAATCTAAGCCTTTCAGAAAACCTTTCCAAGGAGCGGGCCGTAGTCCCAAGAAACTTGGCTGTTCTTGTTCCCCCTCATTCTGCTCTCCCCAACGTGGTTCTATTCCTCCTACAGACACACTCACGACTAAATTATGTCAGCCATGGCCTTGCACCTGCAGCTGTGCCGCATTACCACACGTCATTTTCCGCATGTTTGGTCGTATCTTCCGATAGACTGTGATATACTCAGCAGGGAGGAGGGCTGACAATCTCCGCTCTTGCTGCAACCGTACAGAAAGGCTGCGCCATGGCGAACATAAGCTTTTTCCCCCTTGGCTTCTTGTGCCGGGTAATGTTGCTTTTCCCACGAGATGCGGAGGGCAAGGGTGTGGGCATACCCCAATGGGCCGACACGACAAGTCCTGTAGGGCTTGGCTGGCATGGATTGTTAGCATGGATGGTATGAATATACTCTAATGTCCCCTCCTTTGGTCATACTATTGATTTTATCAACACCATCTCACCGTGAGCGAGCAGGCTGACGCGAGATAAACGGCGGCACGCAAGTCCTCTTGTGGTGAATAGGGGCTACAAAGCAAGGCAGACGAAGTAAGAATGATAGCATTGCCGATAATACTCAGAGTCAGATGATATTCGAACGGATGATGTCGGAGATGAATGGTTCTAGACTTCTAGACATCTGACTCCGGGGAGGATCCAGACCAGTGTTGAGCATACAGACAGGCGTTGCAACCGGCGTCTAGACAGTGGTTGAAGGTGATCAACAGAAACTTGTGCTTATAGGTTGGCCCCTAGTGATCAAGCCTCTCGATCAATCAAAGAGTCAAACGATATCAATTATAACACTTCTCCCAGAGACTGGGCTGGCCTCCTCCGCCGTTTCCTAGAGGGAGGTCTTCTCGTCTCTTCCTTAGTCAATCTTTTACCCCTAACTCTAAACAGCCCCCCTACAGTCATGGCTCCTTCAATAGTGACAAGGACAGCCTTAGGCGCAGTCGCCTTCGCAAGTGTAAGACATCTCTCATCCAAATCAATTAACAGCTTCTGATACCCCAATTGATCTTTAGGTAGCAACAGCAGTCACGTCGAGTCTATACCCAACAGTTGATGCAGTGAGCCTCGCGACTGCTTTCAACATCAGTCTGGGATGTCTGGACGCCCTCAACGAGACCGTCTCCTGCGATGGCGACCTGTTACGTATGGCCGCCAGCGTCGACGACTACCTTTGGTACCAGAACAACCTCACCGATCTGTGCACGTCGGGTTGCCTGTCGTCGACCAAGACATGGTGGTCCGATGTTCTGACTAGCTGTGCCGGCGACTCTATCATCGTCAACGGCCGTCAGGTCCCTCCGATGACCATTCCGGGCCGCATGCTCGATGGATTGAACCTGGCCTGTCTCACGCCTGGCACCGATCTGACGTCTCTTCCTGGAGTTGTCGGAGTCGAGATTACCTCCACTGTGATATCCGTCGTCAATTCGACTGTGCCGTTTGATCCGACGGCGCCCAACGCCACGAACTCATCCACTCTCCAGAGTCGGCAGTACCAAAGTTTCAACCCTGTCTTTCGCTCAGACGGCTTTCACTCAAACGGTCATGTACCAGCCGGACGAGACCTGAGCTCGCGGCAGAGTTCCTCTAGCTTCTGTCTCTTGGAGTCATATGCATGGGTCGGACAGGACATCATCCGCCCCGACTGTTCAGACTCCAGCACCTCTTCGCAATGTCTAGATCCAACAGATGTTCCAGATGAGAACCAGCGCATCGCCAATCTCTACCCCAACTCTCTACTCTGCAGCGACTGCTTTCTGAAGATGTTTTACTTACGCATGGCCTCCCCCTATCTTCCCGATCTCGACGCCTCAGACTACCATCTCGAGCAATACCTCGACATCGTCGACGTCTGCGATGCAGGCAGTAGCATGCCGGAGCTGCAGGTGCGCGTGCTACCGCAATATGACAACGTCGCGGGTGTCAGCGATGGCTCTCTTGAGATCAACAGTACCGTACCCAGCGGTACTGTGGTTTGTAATCAGACTCTTACCATCAGTGATTTGGAGAGCCTCTCCGTGTCGGATCCTGATGCCGGAAGCTCCGTTTACTGCGAAGCACTGTCATTGAAGTATGGTGTTACAACTGGAGACCTTCACCTCGCTTTCAACGACTACTTCTGTTCTCCGGGGTCGGACTTTGAGAGTGTCTGTGTACCTGCACCTTGTAAGGTCATCCAGGCGGCTGAGAACTCTACCTGGTGCGTTGCCTTTCTGCGTCAATATTTCAGAACACTCCCAATACTAATGACCCTCTCGCAGTGCTGACATCGCCAAACAAGCCGGCCAAAATGTGACGACAACACAGCTAATCAACTGGAACCCCAACATCATCGGTCTCTGCGACTCGCTCTTCCCGCAGTACGTCTGCGGCAGCCTACCGGGGGGCTCCTATATCCCGCCACCAAACGCTAACACGAGTATCTCGAACCCGGTGCGGGGCGGTGGCACGGGGTCCAGCACGGGTAGCGGCAGCGTGCGCGGTGGCGGGCGCAACGCGACCGTCGTGCCCCTCGGCGGCCCGGCACCCACGCCCACACAGGCGGGCATCACACCACAGTGCACTGAATACGTGCTCGCCAGCGACGACGACGGCTGCTTCTCGCTCACTGATCTCTGGCGCGTGCCCGTGGAGAACTTCTACGCGTGGAACACGGTGCTCGGCCCCCACGGCGAGAACTGCCTCACGCAGCTCTGGGCCGATACTTACTACTGCATCGACATTTACCGCGATCCAAGCTCGACCACCACCACTTCGAAACCAACTCCCACTACCACAAAAATCACAGCGCCGGGGCCGACGCAGACGGGCATCATCGCGACGTGCAATAAATTCGCCGAATCCATACCCGACAAAGGCTGCGAGGACTTCGCGGTCGCGGAGGGCATCACGCCCGCACAACTATATGCGTGGAACTCTGTCCTCGGGCCTAACGGGGAGAACTGCAGTACCAGTTTCTGGGCGGGCGAGTACTATTGCGTCGGCGTGTCGTCCTCGTCAAGCACGACGACAACCTCGAAGATTACAACTACAACCTTGAAAACAACCACCAAATCCACGACGACCACAACATCCACCACAACCAAGACAAGCGTATCGCCCGCCGGGCCTACCCAGACGGGCATAATCTCAACCTGCAACAAATTTGTCGAGTCGATCCCCGGTCTAGGCTGCGAAGACTTCGCCGCCGCCGAGCACATCACGCCGTCCCTATTGTACAAGTGGAACACAGTGCTGGGCTCCAAGGGCGAGAACTGCGGCACGTCTTTCTGGGCTGGGGAGTGGTACTGCGTCGGCGTGGCGCCTGGGGGTCCGACGCAGGACGGCATCATCAGCTCGTGCAACCAGTACGCCGAGTCGATCCCAGGGCTGGGATGCGTGGACTTCGCGGCCGCGGAGGGGATCACGGCGAAGCAGTTGTATATGTGGAATACGGTACTTGGGGCCAATGGGGAGAACTGCGGTACCTCGTTTTGGGCTGGTGAGTGGTATTGTGTTGGGGTTTATCTTTCCTGATGGTAGTGAGGTTGGTGGTGGCGCCCTCGACGCCAGCAATAGGCCGACTCTCGACTCTATAGCTAGTTGGCACCCCGTCTGAATCGTCATAGTATATAAATAGTATACGTCTTGCTTGTATCCTTCGCCAGGCTAGCATTAAGATAGGCGCATGAGAAACTCGCAAAATCCATAGTCACCATTCCTAGCGACACCTAAAGAACAACACCAACCCACATGATTACTCACCAACTTCTTCCCGCAACGTCCCAACCGGGAGCCGTCGTCAGTCGCCCCCCGACCCCACCCCGTACTCGGCAGCCAACAAAAGCTAGATAGGTTGCCTTGAAGTATTAGGCCTCGCGAAGCATACCCTGATTATCAGCGAGTAAAACGCCCCCTTGCAAAGCTACTACTATCGCGTCTGGACAAAGTTGTTTCCTTCCTGAGCGACCCGTATATAATTCTACTATCTTCACAGTTGGCTGCACTAGGCCTCTTAGTTGGACGTGCTTACCCCCCTGACACCTGATAGACCAAGGCTGGCAACAACCAGTCCCGCAAGCTATCGAGATCTTCCTTGAACAATATACTTATTGTTCTCTCCGTGTTAGGGTAGCTGTCCGTATGACCAGCGTCGCATCCTGCATCTCATTCCGTTCAGGAATGGAACCTGCAGATGTCGTATTCCCCGTCTGGCCCCTTTTCAAATGCGTATTCTGCTGGAGTGACATTTTGGAGCGCGAGTGCCGCCGTAGCATCAGGGTAATTAGAGGCTGCCTTATACATTTGTTCTCCCTCTGCATGGCTACCCCTCGACCTCTGAGGTGATCAAGCAGATCAAGGTCATTCCCACAAAGTGGGAGTCCCTTTGAGTGCAGAACCCACATGGTCACTACCGGTTCCAAGCTTTCAACTGTGCTGAGTTCGACGCCTCTCGACTTTTCGAAGACAAGCAGCGAGTTCGCTGATAATGCGGACTGGGATGAGAGAGCAGGGAGGATATAGATAACCTGGCCTAATTTAGTAGGTGCCTTATATGGTTAGCATGAACATATGCTGTACCCCACGCGGGTCTACGGGAGCTGGGCAATAGTTATTCAAGTTCACACCCAACACGAGATGGTTGTTCTATTGCTAATACTATTAATACAACATACGTAACTTATTTTACAAGCATGATTTGAGAATCTGAGCTATTCCTTCCTTCATCTTCGTCTGATTCAAGAAATGTTGCTCTTTCATCATAGGCTGACCGATCGATCCATCAGCACAACCGGAAACTCTCCAATCGAGTTATCCGACGTCCATGTTTTTGTTTCCCGTGAACATAATAATGATACAAATTCTCCAAGCTCTTATCTTCCATGCACAAACCTTATCGGCTCTGCTTATAGTGTCACTCGGACAAGATCAACGAGCTCACAGGTTGGATTATGAGGTGTGCCATAAGTGATCCACGACAGAGTCTGCTGGTACATGCCGGAGAACTGCCAGCAGACGGCCCAGTGGTAGTACCCGAGATCATCATCGTACTCAGGCTGCACGCCCGGAACATACGCGCCATCGTCGAACTCCTTGGTGTTGAAAGCCTTGTTGTCGTCGTCGAAGCCAACGTCGAAGTAGGAATTGGTGCCGAGACCCAGCAGTGGGACGCCGACATTGCTGTTCGACTGGTATGTCATGTCCATAACCTGGCCGCGGTAGGGAGATGGGGTGGTCGTGTTGGCCGTCGGGTTTACGACTAGGAAACCCACTTCATGCTCTCTGTACTGCACGAAGCCGGTGTAGTTGAAGTACCACTGGTATGATGAATCACTGACGGTAGGATATGCGTTTGGTTCGTAACTGATGAAGGTTGGGTTTGTCAATCCACCCAGGTTGTACCACTTGAGGTAGCCGTTAATTGAGCTGTTCGAGGCCTGACCCTTCACTTTTAAGGCAAAAGGTCCTTCTTGCTGTAACTCCTGGAACTGACCAGACACTGCGGTCGCAGAGACCAGTCCAAGAAGGGCTGTGGAAAATCGAAACTGCATGTTGACTTGTTGCGAATGTTGACTCTAATAGGCGATGATTTGTTTGATGTGTGTGCCTATAACTCATTTTTAGATTGACATTATCTATCTTTTCTTCCGAGTTTATATAACCAATTGTATCTTAATTACTTCATGAGGGGCTTCATATTAGATAGCTCGTGTCTGCCGGTAGTCAATTGTCACTTAGTAAGTAATCCTGTTGCCTGACTAGCATTATAATCCTAGGGGCAGTGCGCTAAGTCCAACCGCCGGGAGAAGCAACGACGATCACAACTTAGCGCGACAGTACAAATCAAATTGTACCAAGAAACTTCGATCAGGCAGAAACAATCGTACCTTTGCGAAATGACGATTTCAAAAGAAAACCGTTTACAGCTCGTGTTGGCCTTAGGTATTCTCATGGTGATCCTCAAATGTTGTTTAACTAATCACCATAGTCAACGGTACCAAGACTGAGGAATAGTGTATATTACACAATATTACACTCAGTTAGCACCTACGTTGAGAACTATCTTGAGCTAGTCCTACATCTGGTTTCTAGGATATGGGTACAATCTGTATACATAGGGCTTGCATTATATGACATGGACTTTATATGAAAACTACAATATGCATGTGCATCAAGAACACGAACGGTAACCATGAGTATTAAGAGACAGTAGTTAATGCGCGATACCGTTGCATGCATTAAACACCACCAGTTTTATGATAACTTAGTGTCAAGTGGCTATTTAGTAATTATGAAGTAACGGTTCAATCTTAGGCTCTATTACTGTAGCTGTTTCGTATACGCCTTATATGGATACCGTCTTAACTAGATTTCCACTAGGGATGGCTAGGTCTCATTTATTTGACGAAAATCGGCGGACTCTGGGGGTTATCAACTTTGTATGGAGTTAAACATATATTCAACGGCGATCTGCCGGGCAGTTGTAACGGCCCTTTAGCCGCCCGCGAAGGCCCGTTCGGATAGACAAACTCTGTAACCGACAATGGTGCACCTTCTAGTATTAGGTAACACAGCATGGGGCATTGTTTCGAGCTAATTGTCATTTCAAACAGCTCTTAGCTCATCCGTATAATACTAGCTTGGATTGGCAAATAGTTGACGTAAGGAGAAAGAGCGATCCTTAAGTCGTCACGGCACGTCGGCAGTTCTCACGTCTTCAACAACTTATTTCTGAGTGACATGGTGATTGCAACATATACACGCAGTGTGTTGTGATTTTATATTCAACTCCCACCTGAGTTGATCTAACCTGCTGAGAAGCAGGCTACCGAACAGACTAACCTAAGTGGCTTGTTCGTCTTACATCATCTTAAACCGGCAGTCAGTCTTTGAAAACAACAGCACGGTTGGGCAGATCTGATCACCCCAAGACCTGCCAGCCCGGATGATTAATATATATGACAATAAGTCTTGACTCTTTCACATACGACCATAGGACCTGGAGAACGCGGGGTCCCGTCCGCTCCCCCATAGCTAAGCCAGATACCGCCAGATTAGTAGTTGGGTCGGTGACGACCAGCGAATCCCTGGTGTTGTATGTTGTTGACCTTTTTGCATGTGTCCATTTTTTTTTCTGCTGTTCCTTAACAGTAGAAAAATCCATTCCCCTAATAGTCTTTCCTTGTATAATCGCAAAGGGTATTACATCCTATATCTCGTCCCCCTCGCAGGTTGCGTTTGCTCCCAGCTTGCTTGTATATCGGGTGAAGCAATTGTTTTGGGCAATGGTAACAGTATTGTTGTTGTAGATGGGAGAAGGAATCCTCAGTGAGGGGTAAATTGGGGTTGAGGTTGAAGGCAATGTGACGTAAGTCGTCGGTCCCGACAACCTGGTCCTCATCCATTGGAACGGCTGTTGAGCGGAGCATGGAAATTACGGAGTCGTATTTTTCGTGAAGCACGTGCCCAATGGCGATTTTCCATCAATCGACGAATTGCACGATAGTACTTGACATGTTTGACCTACGCTGCTTTGTCTCTTTGATCAGTAGATAGAAAGAATGGGTTACCCAAGCCCGAGCGGCAAACTTGACGGTTAAATAGAACTGCAGCCGCTCCAATCAAGTTTTATCGCTTCGAGTTATGAAGATCAGTTTGCCGATACCATGCTTCTGCTCGCTTTTAGCGCACCAATATTGTGTTTCAATCTAAGTTAACGACACTTATTTTTTATGTAGCTTTTGAAAGTTATGTAGAAATTCTTTTCCAGTTCAAGGTAAAACTTATATTTGAATTATCGTAAGACTACTCATTTACTAATTAAATTGCTTTACTATAGTAAGGGCTTGTATTAAGTTTTTGGAAATATTTTCATATTATAAAAATCTTCTATGGCGGTAAAGGAGTCCTTGCCAGCCAATACTGGCGCGGCTCCTTCAGGGTCTTTATGACTCTTTTATACACGACCTTCGGGATTCAAACCCTCGGAGGTCCGCCCATATGTGTCACTTTGTGACGTCTGAATAGATTCATGTTACACCTCGCTTCACCTTCGTGCCTATGTTTGATTAATTGATTGATTGTTGTTCGCCAATATTACCATACGGCCGAAACCGTGGCACCCAAAAGTCCCTTGTAGCGTCAAGCGCGTGTGACATTCACTGTCCGAGCTTCTGAAACCCTTATGTTTGCCTAAGTCGTTGAAGATGTTCAAAATGGTCCGGAAAGCCGCGTATATAAGGTAGGCGCATATTAAGGTAACCCCGAGTCCGGGTTCGTAGGTTATCGTGACCCGAAGCTGTTGCATTGCCATAATACCACTTCAACCGGTGATGGATACAAAGCACCAGTTGCTATATTTCACATAATATACGTAACGGAAGCTAACCTCCGAGGGATGTCAGCGGGTCAATCTTTCTGCATTACCCAGAGGATACTACAAGCTTAAGATATAAGAGTCCAAAGTGACAACTTCGATATTTCCCCTCGTTTCTTCTGTCTTGAGCACTCGCCGTTTACATCCCGGAAATATACGTCAAGCGTAGGCCTGGCGAAACAGAAACAGACTCGATGTTTCTCCTCGGCACGTTCCTCCTGTTATTGGTTACCTCTGTCGTGGCCCAGGATTGTCCACTTCCCTCGACATACAAATGGACATCGACAGCGGCACTAGCTACCCCTAAATCTGGCTGGGTTTCTCTCAAGGGCTTTACTCACGTTCCGTACAATGGTCAGCCTCTAATTTATGGGACGACACACGATACCGGATCGACCTGGGGTTCAATGAATTTCGGTCTCTTCTCAAACTGGTCCAGTATGGCCTCAGCGAGCCAGAATGGCATGATTGGGTCGACGGTTGCGCCCACATTATTCTATTTCGAACCAAAAAATATATGGGTGCTGGCCTACCAATGGTCTGCTACCACCTTTTCCTACAAAACATCGAGCGATCCTACCATGTCTATGACCAAATTCTCCGCAGTACCGAGTTACCCGCGCAGTTCTCAACTGCTGCGGATGTCCTCGAGGACTTGACACATAACATGTGCTACCTTTTCGGAAGGGCAACCAAGGCCGTAAGTGTTTGCCCTCCAGTATACTACGCCGATCTTGTTTGTACAAGAGCTCAATGTTACTTGAGAGACACATTTGATCCTCCTCTGTCAGCAAGTCCCGATGCGACCTCGGCAGGGACGAGTGCATCTCGAGCTCTAGATGCTAGTACAGTGAAAATACATCCCAATATCAGGAATGCTATGTTCTATATATGATTTTTCTTTTTTAGAGGGGAGGAGGGGAGGGGGGTTCAGAAATAATCGAGCCAGTTAATTGGTTGTATAGTTCTAAGTGCTCTGTCTCTAAGGTGTGTCCTAGTAACTAGTGTGGCGGGCTCTCAGGGGTTTAGCAGACCCTGCTCACACCCTAGTATATTTAGCCCGAGCCTCAGGAGCGTGTAAAGAGGGCGTGCTCTGTAACTAGGCGTTAAGCCTGCTATTTTATTGCCCCGCGTTCCATACTCGCGTCCAGTATCTACCCATCGCATAGCTTATGTCAGATTAGGCGAGCTAGTCCATTAGTTGTATATATTGTTGTTAAGCAGAGTCTATTCGGTACCTGGTATCAGTTAGTTAGGCAGACACCACCTGCACTCGCACTGGTGTGGTGGGTTTAAAGGCTGCACCGTCAGCTATCTTCTGTATGCGGCGTTATTATGCGGCAAATATGGGATTGTTAATGCTGCAAATGCTGCTAAAAATATGATACGTAGTTTGCTTTCAACTCTCCCAGGGCGGGCAAGGCCCCTAGGAATATATAGCCACAAGGTCTACTATAGCGAACCCCTGTGCACCCTGTAACTATATACCCTAATAGATTGCATATCAATTGCTGTAGGACCATTCGTTGCGGTATCCCTAGATAGAAAGCTTTACTTGGTAGATGTTCTATTTAACATCCAAAAGAGCAACCTGATGAAACCGCACCCGATACGCCTTGTTCTCGAACCTAGTGCTTGCTCGGCCAGATTGGCTCAGCCAGTAGCCATCGGCAGAGCTTGAGCTTTCGCGACTCAGGGTCACCTTAATTATGTGGTGAATGCTATAAAAATGGCCGCAATCATTTATCTCATCCAAACTTCATCGGGTGAAGCTCATGCGAAGGTCTCCGCCCTGTGGGGCAAACGTGGTATGGGGGATTCCAGTTTCGGATGCTAGAACCTCCAGTCCTGGAGGCTTCCATACCAACACTTCAACATTTGTATGCAATATCTAGATCTTGAGCGTTTGTTGTTACCGTTGATTACACTACCAACTATTTGATGTTGAGTCAATGAGAATGTGTGGAAAGGGATATGGTCAGCCGTTTGGCTATATGTCCCATCTGATTCTCCAAGGCCTGTGGTCCCTGAGTCCTCTATTCATTCTAAATACAAGTCTCCCTCTGCGAATATTGTATATACCTCTGCACCCTTTGATAGAGAAGGCCCTCAGCCATAGTACTAGCATATATTCAAAAGCCCAACGGTAAAATATCTCCGGACAATAGGCCGAGTGATGCCCCCTTTAGATGTAATGATTATCTACATTTTAAATGTTATGCACGAAGACGCCTCTCAATACGTCTATTTGTATATGCTTCTGGCGGCCTTCGGGGACTTTTCTCCTGGAATGCCCGCCGCATGCGGCACGTGGATTGAGCTAAGTATAGGTTGATACCTTTGTTCTCAGGTATAACTTTGGGTATAGTTAACTAGGAGAATCTGAGACTATGTGATGTATGTCTCTTTGTTTTCCAGAATCTCGGAAGAGTTAGGCAGCGACTCTTTTTGTGTTCTTCCTACGTAGTTACGATATGGTCTAGCCTTGGTAACGGGAGTTGACATACACTAGTACGGTCTCGCCCACAGTGTCGCTTCATTTAAGAGTATAGAGAGACGAGTTAGTTGAAAGCGAGATAACTTCGTTTATAATGGTTGGGCCCTCTGCGGCAGGTAGTGATATGGGCGGCGGTGGCGGCGATTCTCTTTACGGTCCTAGTCCGCCGCATTCTCCGGGCTCTGAGTTTGAGGATCTATGGCCGCAAGATTCAGCCGAGATTCAAATTGCAGAGCCCGCACAGCCTGGTTTCCAGGATCCGGAGATCCCGGATGTTGAGTGGCAGGAACCTGAAGGCGAAAGTACAGACTCTCAATCTTCAATCCCGGACGTCGAAGTTATGGAGAGCCGAGGTTCTGGTCACCTAGGATCCGATCCTCAAGGTGTCGTGTCGGAAGATTCTGAGCCGAAGCCTGTTGACCCCGATCTAGTTGCATCACCAGATGCCGGTTCTCAAGCTGTTGATCCGCAAACCGAGTCTGTAAATCCCGAGCCCGTAGTCAAGACCTCAAGTCCAAAGTTATCCAATCCTCCGACCCCAGACCCCACCGTTGCCGCGACTACAGCATTTATGGCAATGGCCCCAGACAGCGATGATTCGAGTTCATCAAGTAGCTCTCCAGTCGTTAGGGCGAATAATATCAACACGAGACGGCAGAAACGACAGATTAAGAAACGAGAGGAAGAAAGAAAACAGGCAGAATCTCTGAGGATACAAGAGGAGTCTATTCAGATACTCCGTCAGCAGCTCAAATACGGTCGCTTGGCGATCTGTGTAGGCTCTGGTGTCACGCTTTATTCGGCGTCTACACAGACTTCGCGACTTTCATGGTGGGGGCTTAGTAAGTAACATGAACTACTGACAATCGTCCCCAGCTATTGTGAGTAGTCGGGGCTTCAACTAACTGAGCGAATAGTGGCCAATGCTCTAGACTACTTTGAAGACCAGGCGTCGGGGCTAACTAAAAACTCAATCAAGAAAGCCGACCTTAATAGTGCTAGGAAAATATTGCTGAAGAAAGATCTTACCGAAGCGGACCGTGAGGATGTTACGAATAGAATCCAGAAACTGTTGGCTAGCCGCATTGATCTCGAGACAACGTGGAGTGAGTAGCTCAAACCTATTTAGTTAAACTCTCATTTAACTAGGCCGTCATCCCCCCCTCAATCAAAGGTTAAAAGCTAACTCTTGCCAGTGAGAGCTCAATTCCAAAATCTATACAGGGACTACGTTGATCAGCTCGAGATTCTGGACGCGATAAAGCTACTTCAACAACAAGGCGCTTTGCTATTCACCACAAACTACGATGACCTACTCGAAAAGCACTGTAACCTGGAACCCATCGATGCTTCAGATCCCAATGGCTTGATATCGTTCCGCCGAGGTTCTCGGCCAGCTGTCTTCCATCCCCACGGGTACTGGAGGAACGCGAAACATATTGTGTTATCCGCGGAACAATACTGGCGCGTTAAGAATGACCAGGTTGTTCAAGAGACACTGCAGCATATCTTAGCGACGAAGACTGTTTTGTTTGTGGGATGTGGAGGTGGCCTGGCTGACCCGAATTTTGGATCGCTGATTAACTGGATTGGAGAGAAGAATATTGGAACCAGTTCGAGTCACTACATCTTGCTTCAAAGGCAAGAACAAAATCCAGTAACACAGTTACCCCTGATCCATTTGAGGTGCGAGGGATTTGACGACATCCCACGATATCTCAAGAATATGCTAGACCCGAGCGAACGCCGGGAGGGTAGCTGTAAGTCACGTTTCCCTAACTTTTGTAGCGTCAACTAATTTCGCTAGTATACGAAATACCCTGGGATCGTGAAAGAAGGAGGATCCACGATTGGTTGAAACCCGCCGATCAATCTGAGTTCCTTAACGACATGATGAATCTTCACGGCCCTAACAGGTTCGACCGACAAGTAACGAATAGCCAAGATGTTTGGTCTATGAACACACCTTCTCGGGTAAGAGTGAAGGGACCTGGTAAGTTTTATGTCTTGCGCGATACCTGTGGCCGGCGCTAATAAGACAAATCCGCAGAAGGTTTCGGTAAAACAATGTTCTGCGCCTCCGTGATTCATCACACATTGAAGTCATGCCGATTGCCCGCTTTAAGACGTACACGGGACTCCCTCGCCTATTTCTTCTGCGCAACATACAGACCTTATGTCGACCAGGCCGAAGTGCACCTCCACGATTTCAATCTATTCCTTCGAACAATTATCTCGCAACTCTGCCCACCAGCAACTGTCTTCGAATCCCTACGCGTTTTATACACGGATTGCACAAGATACCATCCTGGGAGACTACCCACGAACGAGGAGTTACAGAACGTCTTTATCCAGGCGATTCAGGACCTCGATAGTCCCCCTTCTCCTAAAGATGGTGACCCAGTGATGCCAGGGGAGACATATCTCGTTATCGATGAATTAGAGACGCTTTCGGCGAGCATGCAGAGCGAGTACTCGAAATTCATCAAGACGATTGCTAGCCTGCAGTTAGAGCATTTCCACATCCTTATAACAGCTGATAACCCCCTCGCAGTCGGACTAGCACCGCCCACGCAACCCGACAAAGCACCAAGGGGAAGGAAAGCTAAAAGGCGCTCGAGAGCGCTAGGTTTGTCGGGGACTGCGGCGGTTTCTAAAACGAGTTGGGTTGAGATTGATCTCAATTGGCATTCTACTGGCAAGGCGGCGATGGAGTGGCTTAGAGACCGCTTTGCGAACGACCCTGCGCTGGCGAGTTACGCTAATATTCGCCAGGATGTCATGTTTCAGATCCACGGGTCTGGGGAAAAGTAAGTGTTGGTTATTAGCGTTATGTGCACACCCATTTAATGACTCCTGGAAACTCAAATCAAAGAACAAAATCATGCTGACTTATGCCCACGTAGTCTCCGCTGGATATACTGGACACTCAATCGTCTGGGCCAAATAGGGGCCAGGCAAGACTTGAACGACAAAGATCTGAAACAGCTTGTTGAATTAGCGCTGCAAGAGTACTCCCAGGGTGAGGAAGAGGATAGATTGGAAGATGACGATGACGATGATAATGATGATGATGATGCTGATGATGATGAGGGTCTTGTCGTGGTTGGTGCGAGGCGTCGTAAAAAGCAGAGGACTGCGGCTTGAGGAAGAAGAGAGCGTTGTCTCCCACATAGAAGGATATTTGTCATTGTATACCTAGACATACGATAACTTTTTATCTTGTAGTTCTTAGCATTAGTCTTGGGTAGACTAAAGTAAGTCATAAGTTGGCTCTCCATTATGTAAGTTCGCATAAGAGGTAAAAAAAGTACATGTTCCTTTTTGATGGCTGTAAAGTCAATAATATTTCATACAATTCATCTTTCCGTGAATTCTGATGAAGAAATTTGTTCGACTAGACTGTCGCCGTCGCCTCAAGGCGGAATGAGACCTTCAAGTAACCAGCTAGGTACCCCGTGCGTACCCGCGAGGACGGTGAGCCAGTAAGGCCACATACATTAAGATGTAAAAGATAAATAACTTAGGAAAGTAAGCTATCAAGTCTTACAGATATAGCGCTAAGTTGGTATAAGTATAGGGGTTGGTTGTATCTAATGGTTATGAGAGCGGTTATGAGAGGCTGTTAAGCCCTTCTAGAATTATAGTAGATGGATGTAATAGTTATAATGGATTTAGTGGCTTACTTCACTATAATTATAGCGGCTTTTGAGGTACCTATGTGGTCTCATCGGGCCTTTATGCATGGGTTGCTAAAACGCAACTTGAGATCGTGACTACAAGCGCAAGCCTTCAAGTACAAGGCCGAACGTATAAATATCCCTGAAAAACGACGTGTTAAAGCGACAAGTTCGTCGTTGACGGATGATATTTGCTAGTAATGTGCATCTTATGCGCTCTTTGAGATACCCATGCAATCTCGGACTCCTATTGCCTAGTTGCATCGTGGCGTATATCACGTGACTGGTACGGAACTGCAGGACGAGGGGGCGTGGGAAGCGGCTGTGTGTTGACGACGCGTATATTCCACCCATCTCGGCCTTTCTCCCTGAAGCTCCTTAGCTTACTGCGTGAAAACCTCACTATCTACTCAAGGCCCTCTCGCTGTAACCAACTTGATATATGGCAGAAGCTTTCGGTATTGCCGCGTCGGTCGCGGGCATCGTATCACTTGGCCTGGAACTCTTCAAAGGGATAAACACCTACATTGGCGCTGTTCGGGGTCGTGATGAAGAGATCAGCGCTATAAATCGACAAACTGAGGTCTTTCAGGGCTCTCTAAAAATACTGCAAAGCGCGCTTCAAGACCTTGACATGAAGCATCAGACAGCTGGCAATACTATGAGGGCTGCTCTGGAAGCAGGTGAACTTGACCTCAAAACTTTGAAAGACTTCATGGTTAAGCTTGCCGATTCCTCGTCACAACCGCAAAGTATTGAATCCAGATTAAAGCATGCAACAAAGATGCTGGCATATCCTTTTCACGAGAAACCTCTTGAGACATTACAGCAACGACTTGATAGAGCCAATACGTCGCTTGACGTAGCCATACGCGCACTTGACCTGTAAGACTGATGTTTTCATTTAGCACTAGCGTGGTTTATGGCTCATCGGATGCTCGTCTATAGGAAAATTATCTCCTCTATTGAAAAGTCTAGTGCGGATGCAGTTGCTCAACTTGCTTCCCTTTCCATAATATCAGCTACCAACAAGTCTACGTCCGTGTCTATCAAAGCCAGCCTCGATACGTTTATACCTCGAACAGACCAAGCTTTGATTGAGGTAGATAATTCCTTAAGGACGAGTCTTCCTGTGATTCAGAAAAGCTTAGATTCCATATCGGAAACCCTACTTAGACATGAAGCAAAACTAACCAGCAAACTACAAGAAGCCCAGAGTGAGTGTCGAGAAGAAACCAGTGATGTGCTTAGTCAGACAGCCTCATCCAAATCGATCGTGAATACACTAGGAGCCACTCAAGCAGGGAATAGGAATCTAATTCCAGACCTATTTTCAAATGGCAGCAGAGCTGTACATATATTGAATGGCCTAGCTGAAAAAAAGGAACATGATCCTCCACGGCTTCTTCATGCTGTAGGTAAACCTTTTTCCCCATCCAGGATGAACATTTCAGGCTCATTAAACGCCTTTTTAGAGTGCAGAGCAGCGTGCGCTCTACCGCCTGGTTTCTTCTCCTGCCCAACTGGAGAAACTCCTCGCCCTCTATCAATCGAACGACGAGGTGAATTATGAGTTCACAATAGCGGAGGGTAAAAAGAGCCCTGAACATCTCGCAAGTAATATTCATGATGAATACAGATATACGTCAACTTGCATATGTCGACAACAGCACGAGAGCTTTCGCAGTCACACAAGACTGGGAAGTTTGTCCTTCAACATATTGAGAAGTACGTACTGGAAACATCTGCCTGAATGCAGATTTTCTAGGAGCGAAATCGTCTCTAAATCGGACACAATACGAATGACTTATAGCGGCCTTCAATGGCTTCTTCCCAAGGCAATCGAACTTTCCATATCCCTAGGGACCGGATCGGGGGGCCTTAGCATTAGTCCAACAATTACGCTTCGACCCGTAGTTAACGAGAATGAAGCCCCGGTTTTCCGGTCTCTAGGTCTTTTAAGGTGGTTTGTTTGGAACAAAACACCTGAGCTGGGAGTTATGAAATTTACAGAAATGGTAACAAATAGAGTTTTACGACAGTACATGTCTCGAAAAAGCTCCCCATACGAAGTCAATAGCAGAGGAGAGTCTGCCTTGCATATTTGGGTGGATGTGAGCCCCTTCATTTCTTATCAGTCAACTACTTTAGTATTATCATGGGGACATGATTGTCATGTATTGGAAGGCGTCAGATTATTCTTCCTAAACACTCAATGCCATGCGAACTAACAATACATTATACACAGTTCTTAGTCGGGCTTGGTGAATCGTGGGGTGCTTGCGAAAATTTTTTCACATCCATGACACAACTTTTGCTGGATGCTGGGTTGCAAATCGCCTTGTGCGACGAACAAGGAGGGTAAGTTTCTTTTAGATCAGAGCAATTTGACTAAAGTCATATTGCTAGACCGGGTTGAACTAAATACTGATAGTGAGCTACCTAGGTCTGCAGGAACAAGGCTGTTAAGAGCTGCCCCGAATGGGATCGTGGACTTTGGAAGACTGATGTACATTCTTTGTAAAGAAGCCCCAGAACCGTCGATCATGGAAAACTACAAGATTAGTAAATTTTACTTTCGAAGCGATTGGGTCGAAGTGTCTCGTTCACTCCGCTACTCAATTGACGCAATCAATGGTAGGTAATTCCCACCAGATGGGTGAAAAGCGAAATAACTTACGTGTGTAACTACTAGTTGTAGGCTGTGGCCCACTCAGCACCGCAGTGATCCTCGGAAAAGAAACTGAAGTCAAAGAAATCATCACGAGATTTCCCTTCACCATATTTGAAAGAAATCTCCTGGGCCAAACTCCATTCCACTTGGCAGCAGACAAGCCAAGAATGCTACGACTCTTAATGGCGGTTGTCAATCCGCAAGAGCACGATGTGACGGATAAAAAGAACGACTACGCCTTAGACTACTCATTGAGCTTGTCTTCGACAATTTGCGCAAAGGGCTCCTCGTGGGTTAGTTGTTCTGGCTGTCCATGTACCGAATGTGTTGAGATATTCTTAGATTCTGGATGGCGTTACAGGTTCGATTTCCTAAGGGCAGACATGTCGCACGCAGCCAGGCTAAGGATGATAAGTCACTTTGCTGCTCAAAGAGAAGTGCTGAAAGACCTTGGTCGGCAGTTTTTACCTCGGGTCGAAATTGACCGCCACCGTCTAAATGAGCCTCATATCCTTGACATTCATGCACACAGAGTTGCGAAGCTATTATACCAACGCGGTATTGCCGTTCCAGCGTCGGTCTGGGCGACGTTGCCTACCTCCGAAGATTCTTCCTCACTTTTCGCTTCAATGTATTACGATACCGATGGATTATTCGAAAGAGATTCGCGTAATCGGTTGGTCGAGCTTCTATATGATAAAGGGTTTCGCGACTTCGACGAGATCGATAGCCGCGGTCATTCCCCATTATCGATCTATATTGGCCGTGACTGTTTCCCTAGGTACTACCCGCGGTCATCGCACTGCTTGTGGCTTATCCGCCATGGTGCAGATATTTTGCGCCCATGGCCGTTAAGAGACTCGAGTAGTCTTTGCGGCTACAAACACAGCAGATGGGTTTTGGCTCACCTCGTTCTGGATTGCATCCCATTCGATCGCAGCAATTTCCGCAAAAATTTGGATTGGTATGACTCGAGCGATTTTCGACAGTCCGAGGTGGAGTCTTATCGCCAACTCGTCTCGCTCGTGGCACCTTTAGATCAACACGATGAATGCCATTGTCGATGTGGTCAGGCAGGATGTCATACCATGAAACTCTTCTTGAGACGTGCATGGGACAGAAGTATTCATCACGCATATGCACATCATACTTATAACCCAGAACAGCTGATTACAAGCAGTTCAGTTCCTAATATTGCCACAAGCATCTCCAGTTTTTTACGAAATTTAACAGTAGACTTATCGAAATGGGATAGAGTCGTTGCGCTAGCATTGAGATACTTTACATTTCAAACATTGGACCTACAGCATACGTGTTGCAATGTGCCATACGAGGGCTCGTTGTCCGAACAGGAAATCATGGAGATCGAGGACGAAAATAGAGAACAACTAGACCGCCTGGAGCTCCTCCTTGGGGAACTTCAACTTGGGTATTCAAATTTTAAAAGTCCTGACGTCCAAGGGGACAAGTTTACATCTTTTCTGACTGCAGAATGGTCACCACGAATGCAACAGGAGTTAGCTGATATGGAGGCAATCCGGATGACGGAAGATGAGAAGCTAAAAGTGGAGGAACTAGGGGTACGATGGGGGCCAGAACCAGAAGTTCGAAATGAGGGAGAGTCTTCTGACCTCGACATTTGGCTAAAAGAACTGGACAAGATCATACCAGAGTGACTGAAGTTTCACAAAGGGGTATACGGATGTGTCTCGAACGTTCAAACACGACGCCGTTAGACGTTCGAAGCCTAACGGTGATAATATAGCCTCACCTATATCCAACAGTATAAACCAACGCCAACCTCAGGAACAATCAATTGAAGTCTATTCAAATGAACTAATTAAAGTCTATGTTCTGGCTATCAGATCTTATTAATAGGCGTTGCCCGTACAACGCCCTGCCACTCTATACCCACTACTCCGTGACAGATAGAGTTGGTCACTCTCAATCACATACAGGCACGAAATACATAGAGAAAAAGAAACAAAAGATCAAGGTACCTGGTGCGCTTGTTTGGTAAGCCCGAGTTTATGACGCATGACGATGCTAGTCTCAAGGTAGTCAACAGGAGGCTAGTATTTCCCCGGCTAGACAAGAACTTGCGCGGCTTAGTATGTGGGCGTGTTGCGGAAGATCCGTGAAGGAGGCCTGACCCAGCGACTCTGTTGGATAATATCAAAAAGATGATACAGGAGAGATCCATGGAGTACTGCACCAACCAGCCTCGTTACGTCAATATTGACGAAAGTGATGAAGCAATAAGCCTACTCCTAAACAACATATTGCATAATGTTGAATAAATATCTTTTCAACATCAATGATTAATTGCCTGTAAGGATACAATGATAAAGTTAGACCGTCAGGGGATAATGGCGCACTAAGGAACAAATTACTCCAAAAGGGTGGATGGAGATAGCTTAACAAAAGCGTTGGGGCTGCTAATTGCAAGTTGCGATAATGTACCACGACGCGATCTCAAGACCAATCCACTTACTCCCGATCGTGAGTGTTCACGTCATCTCATTTCATAACCCCTTTCCATCTTATGATAGAACAATCATAGCCCACTAGCTCTAGTTCAATCACACTTTAATTGGACACTTGCACTCTTGGTCCAGACTCAGCATCATGTGGTCTGCTCCTCTCGCTTGGGTTCGCGGAGGCGCTTCTACTGCCAAATGCCAATTGAACCTCGCTCTCTGGAAGTTTCGTGAAGATAGGTAGCTCATGGGAACCCTGAGACTGAGAGATCTTGGATGTAGAGCGCATTTTCGAGGCAATGAGAGAGGCCAGAGGGGAAAGGAGATTTGCAAGGACCGGCCAGAGTAGCGGCCCACAAGCAGCAATAATACCAACTTGTACTTCCACGAGATTCCAAATCGAAACTCCCGTGAGAATCACTAGAAATGGGAAATCAGAATCTTTTGAGCTTAACATGGTTAATGTTGGTGAATACTGACATAGGCCATCTTCGGTGTACTGGCCAAGACTAGAGCGAATATAGATGTATCCCTTGGCAATAGATGCACCAACAGAGCTTGATGAATCAGATTAGCGACGATTTATTTGAAAAGCATCTTCATATACAACAGACAAGATAATAACTCACAGTGCACCAATTAGAAAAGCCGCCAATGTCAGTACCCTTCGTCGCGCGCTCATCTGTAATCGCATGACCACTGGAATAGGGATAATAAGCGTAATGAAGTCCGTCGCAATATCACTTCCCACTAGGCCATACCCACTAGGTACAGCACTTCCACAATACTTAAGATACTGGGTTGGTGTTCCAAATACCGCCCAAAGGTGCGAGCCGCATTCAAGGAGGCCAGCTAATATGAAAGCAGTAGCCCATGCGGTAATGATAACCATCCAGACAATCAGAAAGCGACGTAGGGCAACTTGGGCAAAGAGATGCCAGTAGAGGAAGCATACAGACAGCTTGATGAGGCCCAAGGCTGCGACTCCCAGCAGCAAGAAGGCGAGTTGAATCTTGGACGAGTCAGCCCTAAGCATCTGGTCGCAAAATACAGTGCAAGATGGGCAGAATCGAAGAGTATATAATGCAGCATGTTTTGATGGAAGCAAATGTCCACTTACATGTTTTGCCTTGTTTAGCTGCCCAGTGACACTGGTTGGGTCAACGAGCGTAGCCCCGATTCTATAACCAAGAGATTTGATGGCAACGCCTATCAGTGGTTAACACAGATGGTCTGTTGATGGTGATCCTGAACGAATCGAAGCAGAATTATTCGCCCGGGTATTTGAGACTTGCCATATATCTCCAGAACAGTTAGTCCGGTACCAAAAACCCATCCAGCTATGATCAACCAATCGCTCACGAGGTAGCTTTGATGGGCACGGATGCGATTCACACATCGTAGTACAAGACTCGACGTAGACAGAAGCCAGAGAATAACAGAGCCTGCAATCAAGCCTGCGGGATCCTCATACATGCCCATGGTGCGAGAACTACTGCTCAAAGTTGGAGCACAAAACAAGCTCGAGGGGAAATAAGGAAGCAGAATTCAGGGCTATAGCTAGGGACGAGTTGCTCAAATCCTACAGTATGAGGAGGAAATAGTGAGGCAGGCATACCAGATTATAGAGTCGCTATTGAGCAAACCATGCCGGGATTGTCTTCATTACTAACAACCAGTATATGGCGGCTCGATATGGTAGGACTGACCTAACACGGTCTCGCTATGCGAAAGGGATCGGGATCAACCTGCGGCTTAACAACGCCGATGGGTAGAATGCAACGGTCATGTCGTATCGCTAAGACCGCCTCGCGCTTCACAGCTGGTGGACGGTTACAGTTGAGCGCTGTCTGACTTAAAATACTGTACACTGTATACCACCAGCATGCATGAGGTATAATCGCTTCCTACATAGGCATGTTGGTACTACACATCTCGAATGCATATTAGACACTTATGCAAGCCGACTGATACGCAGGCGCAACAACAGTCTGTTATGTGAATGTTCAGTGCGGGGCTAACAGCAGGTCTAGGGTTGTTCCTCGGGAAGGAGTGACAAGGACCAGGTTCATATACAGAACAGAACCAACTTGCACGAATGAAGGGGTCCTTATAGGCTAGATCGAGTGTCCCCTCTGTCGTTATCATGCGAGACGTTATGACTCGTTCTTTTCTCGCTTCTTTGCTTTTTTTATTTCTTTCCGTGACTCTATACCCCACTAAGCACATGGTACCCGCTATTCGGGGAGCTTTCCGAAAGAAGCGAAATGTATCAAATGTTCCTCTGAGCCCAAGTGGATAATTATCGTGAATTTTGCTGAAATATTGCGATAGTGCCAAAGTGGCATTAGCGTTGACTTTTGCACTTCATCAAGTTTGAAACTATTTACACGACTTACATGGCCTTGCAGGAAGAGCTACTTGACGCCAACGTCAGAGCCTGCCTCGGAAACAGCGGCGATTTACCTGGTGAAGGTGCCAGAAGTACCAGAAGTACCAGTTTCTGCTTTAGAACCAACGGCCTACCATCTCGGAGCACGATGACATAGCGGATACGATGTCACAGCCTAGGCCTTGGATATTGAGATCCTGTTGGCTCTATTAACGAGAAATCTCTTATATACCACCACACGTGCGCTTTCCAAGCCCAGATTCTCAATGGGTAATTTATTAGTAGGTTTTCAGGCGTATATTGTATCTGTGCCTCACTCACGTACTGTCGAGATGCCAAAAATGGCTTTCTGTGAGGACTCCACATCGGTTCTTCAACCTTGACTACCGGCAGCCCTACCTAGGTAAATTGAAGAGTCAACGGGAACACCAACTGTTGAACGTATGTGGGGCTATATAATAACCGTTAGACCGCTCGAACGTCTAACGGCGACATTTTTGACGTTCGAGACCAACACCAAGGATCCGGCCCGCTCGAACCACTAACGGTTGTGGCTGTCGTGCATCATGCATTCATGCGAGGGCTTTTCGTCCTCACCGAGGAATGTATGTTTGGAGGAACAATGGGCGTGATCCCCTGCATTTACGCCTCAGCGATTTGCCGTACAAGGTAGGAAAGATCTGCGTGTCTCAGTTGAACCAGCAATTTATACACCGAGTAGCAAAAGGTCCTCCCCGGCCCTCCATAATATAGTCACACAACACCACTAATCGTATCCACTATACAATTCTGCCGCGTACGTACCTGTCCCTAGACTAGTGTCATATACGGTACTCAGCCACGGCGCATTGTTGCCGTCTCATTGCCCTTAAATAAAATCTCCGGCGGTCCAACAACATCCTCTAAACTTGCTGCTCGTTTAGACATCCAATCGTGTAACGCCTCCCAGTCTACACATGCGTGAGGCTGTGGAACCCTAACTGCTGGCTTATAGCGACTGTGTGGAGTCCATTCGAGTGTGTAAACGCTCACATCGGCCGCACACATGACCGCTTGTCTAAGCGACTCCAGACAGTGGTCCGCGTGAAAAAATAACTCATCCCATTGCTGCTCACCTTGATAGTAGTAATCACGGTGCATGTATTGCTTGATTCGCTTCTGCGCGACATAGGTATATCAGCAGGCTTCAAATCACGTCTAGTATTTGTTGATTCAAACTCACCACACAATGTAACGAGTGGGATATACCGAGCCCACCAACATAGCCTCCGTCTCGATGTTTGATAGATGTCGCGTTGTTTGCTAGCTTCAGTTCTTTTTCAGATAGCTTTATTGCTGTCGCGGAGAGCAAATTGTGCCAGGCTTCATCCATTTCTGCCCGTGGTTGACCGACAAACTTGGGAGTGTCCGGGTCGCCCTGAAGCCATTTGTTCACGTAGGTAACCGGTGCGGGTGCTGTCTGACTGTTAGCAGAACTCGAACAATCCTAGAGGGTTCCCAACTCACAGTATGGTATTTGCGCCCCTGGTTTAAGTGACGGACACTCCCTCACCTTGAAGAAATAGATGAATAGCATAAGACCCAAGATAAACGAAGAGGAATAGACGGCAAGGAGAACGTAGAATCTTCGGCGCCAGATAGATTCAAGATTACGGCCCGGTCCCGGCGATCTTATCTCCTGTGCCTCTTCACATGAGTCAATAGGTTGGTACTCATGTTTCTTATTATTAATTATAAGGGGCATGGTGAGTTGTTCCAATTTAGCAATCGTGATGCACACGACGTACGTGATTGCTGAGGACAGAGTATATAGTGGAGGTCAATAGATATCATGAAAGGTGAAACGAGATTGTGTTAATCAACAGTATCCTTGATATTTGCCGAATGATGTGAAACTGCTAAGTAATGGCCAAATACCCTCGCCTTTGAATGTTGGGGGGAACAGTAGAAATTAGATCGTTAGTCAATGATGGTGGGATCAAACAACTATACCTCGTATTCGTTAGGAAACGCAATGAACCAAACCTAGTAGCTATTTCTAACTGGGCATGCCACCGGCATCCTTGGATGTAATACACTGACGAAGTTGGCGCCTTTTTCTTCACCTGCAACATTGATTCACCTGACCTTCCGGGGTCGCAGCGTAGGTCAACATTGCATTACGCCGCCGAGCTGCATCGGAATGTGCCCAGCCCTGTTGATAATGGGTAACTTCGTCACAGATAGCGCCAAAAGTGATTGCACCTATATTCAAAAGCTCGCCAGTTGTCAGTCGTGGTCCTGCAACTTCAGACTCTTACAACCCACGAATGCTCTCTACGATACATACGCTCACACCCAGCCTCCCAGCCATCACCTACAAAATTAAAACATCGATTCTTCATAATGAAGGTTGCTGTGCTCTTAATTCTCGCTGCCTCAGCTTTTGGTTTGCCTTTGCTGCGTGATAACACGGGTGAGTGACCCTCGAATCGAGCCATTTCCTTCTTCAATCCAAGTCACGGCCATCCGGGTTTTCACAACTAACGGAAGATAGACTCAGATGCTACAGCCAAGCGCGATGGCTCTACAGAATTCGACACAGATCTATGCCTCGTCAAGAGGGCGGAGAATAGGCGTGGTATCATCGGAGTTGGTATCAACAATTGCGCATTTTAAGGACTACTCAGGTACTTTCTTGACGTAGCTTGGGGATGGCTGTCGTCAGCTATGGAAGTCTCCAGGGGCCTGTATACCGTGCGCATACGGTGGAACCTACTCAAACTGTGGTGGTACTTTGGCACCAGTACATGGAAAGATATTTTGCACCCCGCTCAGGCTTTTGCATATTACGTAGCATACGTAGCAATTCCAACTTGCATTCGCATAACATTGTAAGCCATGACAGCTGTTAAAGGACTAAGGATGCCTGCTTGATAGTAATCGACCGTTGCTGGATATCGCTAGAGCTCCTTCAGGCACTTGTCCATCAGCCCTTTGTTCACTTGTGAACACTACCAACAGTCTCCCTTCTTCGACCTCTTTACTTAGTGTTCTTGTGCCTTTTTCCCTTGGTATTTTACAGACATCATGAGAAATCATGCATGGCTCTATGCAGCCTTAAATGGCTTAGCTATTTGTTCGACTATTGCCGCAGACCCTATCGTTACCCTCAGCAGAGATCAAGTCACGTATCGTGGGAAATTGAGAGGCTTGGTGGAAGATTTTTATAATATCAAGTTTGCGCACGATACTTCAGGTGCTCAGCGATTTGCACCACCAAAAGCATACAGCCCTGCGCCAGGCAGCGAGATTGATGCCACCATTCCCGGCCCGGCTTGTCCCCAAATCGGAGCAGGCATACCGCCATTCTTTCCAGAAACCCCTAATCAGAGTGAAGATTGCCGTGAGTGACATCAACTTTACGTCGCTCACACTTGAGCATTCCCAAAATGGTCACATATCACCCCCGGTCTTCCTGTGATCAAGATTGTTTTAGGATAATCATACTTTTCCTACTGTACGATGCACATTTGCTGATATCAATGCTGGGAAGTCAATCTCCGCATCACCAGGCCTTCTGGGATCACTGCAGACCTGTTGGATAAACTTCCTGTCGTTGTTCATCTTGTTGGCGGAGGTGTCGTCAAGGGTTCTGCATACGACGAACCTTTTGATCCCGCCAACCTCGTAGCGCAGTCTGTGGCTTTGAGCAAGCCTATTATCCATGTTGTGCTCAATTACCGCCTGACGATATTTGGCTTTGCGCGTCTGCCTGTTCTAAATGAGCAGAAGTCTCTTAATGTAGGGATGCGAGATCAGCGAGCTGGATTCCAATGGGTCAAAGACAATATCGCTGCATTTGGAGGTGACCCGGATCGAATCACATCATTTGGCCTCAGCTCTGGAGGGACTTTCTCTTCACTTCATCTTTCGACATATGGGGGTGAGCATGGTGTTCCATTCACACAAGCATGGGTTATGTCAGGCCCACCTGGTACAGCACTTAACATGACTTCTGATGCGACGGAAAATCATACTTATGCTGTCGCTGAGAGGCTCGGGTGTAATAACAAAGATGATGACAGAGCGGTTCTAGACTGCTTGCGTCAAGTGCCAATGGATCAGCTTACGGAAGCTGCCATGGCATACTCAATCGATAATCACCCGCCAGCTGGACTTTTCACATTCATCCCTTCTGTTGATGATGATTTCCTACCAGAGAGGCAGTCCACTCTCTATAAATCGGGGAGATTCGTCAAAGGGATTCCTATGGTCTTTGGTTGGGTCCAAGACGACGGCGCCACCAATGCAGGTCCTGCTCCTTTATTCCAAAGCGAGGAGGATATGAAAACCCCTATTCGAAATTTTGCCCACGCCCTTACTGACGATGACTATGCAAAACTCTTTTCGCTATATCCTGCAAAGAGTTTCCAGGAGGACGTTCACAATTATGAGGCCCGCAAAGCCGAGGATGATCCTGATGCGTCCGTCCACTATTTTCGCATTGCGCGCATTATGAGGGATCTTCTATTCACGTGCTCCTCCATCGACTTCGGGTTCGAAATAGCGAGGCAGTCGCAGGATCCAAACGGCTTCTCCAGCGTCTATCACTACGTGCTCAATCAGAGCATGGTGACACCTCTATTTCACGCAGCTGGAATGCCCTATCTAGGCGCTGTTCATGGCAGTGACCTGGATTATCTCTACAATAACATGTTTCCGCGGGATCAGATGTCGGATAGTGATAAGCATGTCTCTGATACATTGATTTCGTCTTTCGTCAACTTCGCATATACGGGTAGCCCGAACAGCGAAAGCTTACCATCGTGGCCTCATTCATTCTCAACTTCTGATAACCTAGATGAACTTGAAAGCAAGATCGATAGCCCTTCATCGTTTAATCTGCGAGTGATAGGTGGACCTCTGGGGGGAGGGGCAGTGCGCATGTTGAGAGGGTCTTCCAATTTATCCTCCGGTGAGCAGGAAGGTATTGCGCAGATTCCGCTGGGGAATGATGTCCAATATGGAGAGATGAAATCTCGGATATACCAAGACAGACAGCGAGAAGTTGATCGGGAGGATCTTCTACTGCGTTGTGCTTTCATCAACGGTCTCGCGGAGAAGCTAGGCCATTAGCTTATTCTTTGCAGACAAATTTGATCGTTTGATGCACGTATTCTGACATTTTGCTAAAACCTAAAACCCAGGCCCAATGTCAGGTGTGCCCCACCTTACAAGGTTCCACAGTCACTCGGGGTATACAGTATGTAGCCCAGTAGCCCAGATACAGACCCATACTTGGAGAATACATCATCTTCCCAGTCATCCAAGAGTGCCACCAACACCCAAGGTGGGATATGTATTAACCTTATGGGTCACCAAATCATTATGAAGCATCCCGATTGTCAACTGGGCTGGGCTGGGCATGTTCAGAAAAGTGTAGTTTGCTCAGATGATAGTGCGACTTGAGCAAAGTAGTTCAAATGATTAGCCCCTTTTCAAGAATTTGTAAGAGATGAACGTTTGAAGCCCGAACTGAATGTAGCAAGCCTGACTAAGGGATGAAAATCCTTCGGAAAACCATAACAACAAATAATCACCTGCAGAAGACGCATCAATATCAAATCAGCCTCGCTGCAGGGAAATAATCGAAACAAATAATTGTATGCTTAATCAAATTACCAAGGGAGGCCCCAAGGAGAGTCGAGATTCAACTGAGATATTCCACCCCTGTATGAGCTAAACAGCAAAGGGCCAATAGCGCCGTCGAAAATCGAACGTAACTTGCTATTTAACGCACCCAGTGAAGGGGTTAACAGCGATAGGCCTCCTGGAGCCACCGCCACTGTCGCGCACTACCCTGTACACTGAGATCTTACTCGCCGTCATCTTTCGATCATCTCCCTAAAACCAAACACTCCTCAGACGAGTGGCGAAGCTTGTGAAGGGCGCCGCCATTATCCAGTATGTCCAGGACCTAATGACTCTGTATTTCAGATCATCTGCTTCAACTGTAAATAGTCTCTCTTGGAACGTGCACTAGCTCACTTCCTCTCATCTGACCCCATCTGACCCTCCATGAGAGAAACGATGACGCGGAGCCGCAAAGTAGTGTGGTACGTATGTGAGGCCTGTGAAGTGAACGAGGTATTATTTGGTCATTTTTCAAGAATGTGGTATGGCAGCTGACGCACCCCCAAGTATTACGTAGGTCCATGACCTAGTCGCTGTCTTTTGTGTAGGCAGTATGCTAAAGATGCCATTTAGCTCACCTCCTTCACGGTTCTCCGTGGCGAATAGCGCAGGCATTGTGCATTGTGCAGCCACAGGATGCTCAAACAGCCATGTGGCGGACCTAGATGTTATCTGTCCGGTAGGCAGAGGCTTAGAATGGAAGGTAGCATGAATGGCGGGCGTTAATTTCCTCCAAAACCCGCAAGTTCGCCAGAGCCGCACCTCGCCGCACTTTGCTTTTTCTGTGATCTGAAGAGTAAGCTGAAGGAAAGGCTTGTATTGGCGTTGGCGCTGAAAGATCATTGGTTTGTCACCGATCTGATGTGCAAATGGTGCTACGATATATGACTGCGCCATCACAGGATCCTCTAAGCGCTAGGGCATTCAGATACCTATGCGCCATGCTCTTGAATTTGTCCTAAATACACAATGCAAGATAAGGCGGCAGCATATCTCTGAAGACATCATCCCAACTGACCCGTATCACATGCATGAAAATTCAGCAGGGCAGTTGTACAATCTTGTAACGGAAAGCGCCGGTTTTCATTCAGAGAGTTTAGAGCTGAGAAGAAACCAAAAACGTGGGTAATACATTTGAAGTATAATTATAGGGTACGAAAGTATCCCCGTCAAGCCCTGTCTGGCCTGCTCTCCTAACACCCACGCCAGACTTAGACATTCAAGAAAATATCCCATGAAACGTATGTTTACACTCGTGTTGTGGCGTAAATACTCTTTTCCTGGCCAAAAACAGATCTCTTCACGGCCATTGATAACGGGATTGGTACAGAGGCAATCTGCACTGGCCCTTCTCCAGAGTCTTTGTTGGCGGGGACAATAATGTCTGCGTGCATTTTCCACTTTTGCACTGGAATCTTCTGAATGGTTGACGACTCATTTGCTGTTGAAAACAGTTAATATCATTATAGAGATGATTTCGGAACTAGACTCGCCTGAATTTTTCAGATCCTTCATCTGACGAGTTTGTATACTACCGGTTGCATACTCGTATACTTCAATGCGTCTTTCGCCAGCGAGATCACCGAGGGTCACGTTCGATGCTTGCGTAGAATTAGAAGCCATAGTGATAGAGATGGGTCGTTTTGGTGGGAGACAGCGAGGCTAGGTGCAAGAGACAGTCGAGAGAGTCCGGGAGATTCTAGGAAGAGAGAGGCCCGGGGTGCGTGCGGTTTTTTTGTAGTCGCCTTTTGGTGAAGCAAGGGCAAGAATCGGGGCTGAGGTCATGCGGTCAGGGATTATGGATTGTGGTGGCGCAACCTCAGCAATCAATGCCCAAAGTGTTTGAGTGGCTTCAGCTCTCATAGAACGTTAGCCAATAATAATAGTAATTTGTACTTCCCAAATCCAAAGCCTCTCATCTCCTGGGCTACTGTGGGGGCCGCTCAAACCACAACAGCATTTATCTTATTGGGTAGAGGTGTACATCAAGCTGAAGGAGAAAGTTGGATTTCATTGTCATCAACAGCCTTTGATAATTCGAAGCCCCCACCCGACACACTCTTCTCAGTGAGCATCTCATCTGGCTGTACTCTTGTGGCTTTTGGCGAAGAGAATGTCGAGCCTTACATCTAGCTTGACCGAAGTCAGATTACAAGGTCACCGTGTTCAATACCAATGTCAGAAGCTAGAGTTATATTAAGGTCCGAGCATTCCTCAGCCTGGTGGAAGAGAGGTTAGATCCGTACACTCCATAACTTATCTTCAAACTCGCGACTACACCTGCTAACAACGCTTACGAATATGGCAAGACCCAGTACTGTTCAGTTAGTCCAGCAGCCAAATGACAATCAAGCATGGGCGCCTCTTGTTCTCTCTCTTGGTTCGTTTTACATCATTCGTGTTCTAAGGTTTGAACTAATTTGCTACACAAGACGGGGGCGGCGTGAAGGGACTTTCATCTCTTTATATTCTCCGCGAGATCATGAAAAGAATTAAACAACTTGACCTCGAGGACGCTCATAATGCCCTTGAAGATCGCTCCAATAATGAGCTGCCTCTACCCTGTCACTATTTTGACTTCATCGTCGGTACGAGCACTGGAGGGTAAGTTTCGCGCAAAGAAATTCGTCACCCGTACTAAAAATGCTTTGAGCCTTATTGCAATTATGCTTGGGCGACTTCGAATGGGAGTAATCGACTGTATTAAGCAGTATCTCATATTTTCTAACTATATCTTCCGACCTCCGCGCTTGCGCTATATTCAGCATTATTCGAGGTGGAAAGTACAAGAGGCCGTCAAAGGAGTTGTTCGGCAATTTTGTGGCTGTCACGGAGAGCTAGACAGGTGTACCGGCAGCGAGGATCTTCGACAGTTCGACTATTACGAGCGGTCTTCAGATTCAGCGCGTGCCAATAGAACGTGCAGAGCGTAAGCGTCAGCCTCTGTAAAACATACTTCGATGCGGATGTTAATATTTCCTATGTAGAGTGGTTTTAACTGTTCGCGAGGGTGGGACGACAACTTTTGACCCAAGGCCAGACGATAAAGTTATTTTATTTCGAACCTATAATCATCTGCCTCGAGACGCAACCAGTGATAAGAAGAACCCTGCAGAAATCAACCCGAGGGCTCTAGACCAAGCTCAATTACAAATACATGAAGCCTGCTCGGCGACGTCTGCTGCCCCGACTTATTTCAAACCCATCATGTTGTATGGCCGCAAGTATATCGATGGAGGCGTCCAAGCCAACAACCCTTCAACATATGCTTGGAACGAAGCAGTGCAAATGGAACATTACCCAGGCGGTAGTCAACTTTCAATCAACAACCAAGTCCTAGGAGGTGGTCAGGCTCCCGCAGCACCTAACAGCAATATGCCATATGCTTTAGTCAGCCTTGGAACTGGTATGACCGAGACGCAGCACCAATTTAGTCTCAAATCGATGATTTCCTTCGCAATCAAGAATATCACCGATACCGAGGCCGCCCATAAGGAGACCAAAGACAGAGCTGCGAATCTATCTCGTCATTATTTCCGGTTCAATGTTCCATACAAATCCCGCGAGCACGGGCACGGCGGCCTAGCTAAGGTCAGCATGAGCGCTTGCGAGAAGAGTCGCAAAAGACCTTTGCGCAACGAAAAGGCGTCAACTAATGAGAGTGCGCCTCAGCGACAAGGTACATTGAAACTCACAGATCTTAGAGCTCAAGAAGACCAAAGGATTTATGAGGAGGCCGAGAACGCCGAAAAAGGGCGGAAGGGTGGGTTCAAGCCTTCAAAATATCACTACAAAACTTTTGACGAGATACGGAAGCAAACCTTGGAGTATTGCGATGGGATTTCAGGGGAGATTAACGAGTGCGCGAATATTTTGCGAAAGCAGATGGTCAAGAGGAAAAATGATAATGGTGCTTCTGGAGCCTCTTTTGTTGCCTTTCGCCAACATCCAGATCCCCAGTGGAAGGATCCGAAGTCGAAAGGAGATGTTTCGACTACAGGGTCTCAACGAAGCCGAAAATAAACAATTATCTACAGCTCTTTCTTCCCTTTTCAGCATAATGATAATACATATTATACTCAAACTAGGCCCTCATTCAACGATTTAGAAATTTCCATGAATGCGAAGTTTGTACTCAGAGTAATACAATATCCACTAGCTCATAAGCACATGTCATTCAGGGGCTCTAAGGCAGGAATAGGACTCCTCGTGGCGCATTATTTCATTCAGGCGCTTCAATTTGCCTATTGATTAACTGTTTTCTGCATTGATTCAGGTGAGTAAGTCGGACGTGGCTATGCGTTTAAGAGATAATCAAGAGCACTTCACTGTCTTTTCAGCCTATCTCCTCAAATTACTTGACGAAATTGCCACAAATTAGTTCAACAACCTATTTAGCATTATCTATTTGGCTGAAGGAGAGTGAATAGTGGCCGAAGTCTTTAATATTGCCGTAGAAAGGCGGCATATCATCTGTATCGCCGACCGTTAAAGCACTGCCACTACAGTATTGCATGACCTCAGCAGGCCCCTGTATTCTGTGTCAGAAAGGGAAGGCGGTGATACTTGCGTTCCACATATTAGAATGCTAGGAATCTATATATAAGACCTTTATCTAGCTAAAATAATTATATTGAAACTTAGACTTCTAAATAATTTAATAGGATTATATATATTACTTTTAATAGGTTATAAGCTTAAATATTTACCTAAGCGTATTTTTAGCTATTAAGGGTTAAAATTATACTTTATTTTTAACCTTCCACTATTTACGAATATAAAATAACGATATACGTTAGAATTCTATTTTATTAATCCTATGGATAAAGATTATATTGAAATATTACTACTTTAAATAATAGTTAATAAGGCTAAGTTTTTAAGGGCTAACTTAAAGAATTTTTAACCTATTAATTCCTTAAAATAGATAAAGGTTAAGTAAATTATATATAACCAACTATTTAAAAATCCTTAACCTAACTTTTTTCTTTTAATAATTATAAAAATAATTATAATTATATTATTAATATTTAATAGTAAAAATATTATTAAATATTTATTATAACTTTTATAATTGTATATAATTTTAAATATTTAATATTATTTATTTTTTAAATATTTAAACTTTTTTTTATTTTATATATAAAGTTTTAATATAACCTAAATACCTTTTTAATTAAAAAAATATAAATAATTAAAATATTAATTTAAATTTAAATTATATTAATTAATTACCCTTATCTTTATTATTATTATTAAAGGTATTTAAAGTCTTTTTTTACCCTTTAATACCTAATAATTAAGATCTTTTTAATTATAAAGTTAATATTCTCTTTAATTATTAAACTTTAAAACCAATTACTTTAAAGGACCTTTTTATTAATTTTAATACCCCCTTTTTTAATATTAATTTTCGAATTAAAAAACTTAATTTAAATTTACTTTTTATTTTAACTAAAGACTTTTAAGGTAATTACTTTATAAACCTTTTCCTATTAAATACCCTTTTAAAAGATTTATATTAATAATATATTATAATATTAAACTTTAAAGAAGAAATTAATTAAGAATTATTAATTATTACTTAATTTTATATTATAAAACCTTTTATAGCTATTAACCTATTTATTAAATTAATTAAACTAACCTTATTAATTATTATTATACTATTTATAATATTAATAATTAATTAAAATATTGTTAAATAGTATTAAAAAGTTTAAAAAGGTAGCCCTTTTTAATAATTTAAAATAATAATTAAAATAAAGTTAAAATATATAAAAAAAATGTAATATAAATAGGTTTATTTAAATATTATTAAAAGGGCTTTATAAAGTAGCCCTTTAATAAAAAGAAAAAGAAAATAAAAAAACCTTTTTTATTAAAAAAGATAAATAGTTTAAAAAATATAATATAATTAATATTATAATTTAAAGTAAACTATTATAAAATGTTTATTAATAAATTTAACCTATATTAATAAAGCTCCTTAATATATTTGCTTTATTATAAAATAAGTTATATTAAAATTATAAGTTTAAAGGAAAAGTTTAATTTATATAATATTATTAATAATAGGAAAAAATAACATTTAAATCCATTAATAATATTATTTAATTTATTATTATATTATAATAAATTTAAATAAATATAATTAAGCTTAATTTAACTTTAATTTAGCTATATTTATATATTATTAAAAAATTTATTAATAGTTTTAAATTTAAATTTAACTTTTTTTTAATAATTTAGGAAATTAATACTTTTAAAATCTTAATTATTAATAACGTATCTCCCACTTAACCTGGCTACCCAATTGACCTGGCCACATTTTTGACCTTCGTATACATATAAAAAAAATCGCTCATTTCTCTACCAATAATCATAAAAACCCTTTGTAAAGAAAGCAACCTATAGCTTATACTTTAAGCTATTAAATAAAACTTAAAATTATCCATCTAATATGTTACTATTATTTATAATATTCCTTATATAATACTTACCCTTTAAATAAAAGGTTTTAAACTAATAAACGAAATATTACCTTTAAAAGCTTAATTAATTCCAAATAAAAAATAATCAATTATATAATATATCTTTAATTTTATAGTAAAATTATTTCCGCCTTTATATAATTATATAAAAAATATAGCTAATTAATTAATAGTATTATAGGGTTAAAAGTTAATTGGAAAGAATTAAATATTAAACTTTGTATAATAAACTTTAAATATTTAAATATATTTTAATTAAAGAATTAATTATTAATGGATATTAAATAAAAATCTAATTAAATATTATATTTAATTTATCCTTATATAAAAGATAATAAATAAAAATAATATTTAAAAAAAAAATATTTATAATTTTAATAAAACTAGGTTTATAATAAGTAAAATTATATTTAAAATAGTTATAACTTTAATTAAATATAAATAAAAACTATAAGCTATTTAATTAAGTAATTTAAAATAATTTATAGTTATTTAAGTAATTTTATTATATAATTAAATTATTCTATTATATATTATTTTAATAGAAAAAAATTACCTTATACTTTAATATAAAAATAATAATATATTAAATAATTAAAAAATTATAATTATAAAAAATGGTTAAATAATAAATAAATAAATTATAAATTAAATTAAACATTTTAATAAATATATAAAGCTTTATATAAAAGGATATTATTACCTTTTCCTTTTTAATAACTATAAAAGTTATTATTTATATAAATTTAAATCGTATTATAAAGAAAATAATATTATTACCTTTTATATACCTCCCTATTCCTTTTATTACCTTTAACTATTTAATATTAAAATATTTAGCCTTTTAAAATAGTTATATAAAAAATAAATTAAAAGCTTTATATAAATATATATTATTTATATTTAAAAGGAAGATTTTATAACTATATTTTTTTATATATTTAATAAAGCAATTATTCTAAATAATATATAAAAGGGATTTAAAGGAATAGGTTTAATGCTATATAATTTAAATTATATTATTAATTAGTTAAATTATTTAATTATACTTTAAGTTAATTTTTTATTTTTAATATTATTTAATCCTTATATAATTATAACTTTAAATAATTTAATTAAAGCTAATTCCCTTTTTAAATATATTAAATAAAGGATTATATAATATTAAAATAACTTTCCTATATTTATTATTAAAAGGTTAAGTTAAATTATATATAATATAACTAATATTATATATTATTTTATATTATTAAAAGGGAAAGTTAAAAGCTTTTATAAAATAAATTATAAGTTTAATAAATATTGCTATATAAAAAGAATTAAATTATAAAATGGAAGATCTTTTATTATTAAAAATATTAAGGATTAAATAAAGGTATAGGGTATTTTTAAGGTAAAAAATTGCATTATACGTTAAGGTAATTATTATATAAGGAGGAAGGAGATTTATGCTTAGCGTTATAAGGCTTATAGTAAACCTGGCTATAATGCGTAAATTTGTAAAAATATTGTAAAAACGTTTAATGATTTAGATTTAAATTAGTTTAAGTTAATCGTATGAATAGTTATTGAAATATTTTCAAATGCGTGCATAAAGGTCAAAAATGTGGCCAGGTCAAGTAGGAGATGCATTATAGTTAAAATTATAATATAAATAATAATTATTTTAAAAAAGGCAATTAATATAGCATTATGCTTTAAATAAGGTTAAAAGGAATAAATAATATAAATTACCCTTTTAATTATTAAAGTTAATCTTTTTTTATTTAAATAATAACCTAATAATAAAAGGAAGGTATATTTTAATTATAATAAAATATATCTTTCTTTTTATTTTATAGCTTATTTTAAACTTAAACCTTTAAATTAAAATAAAAATATATATTTATAATAAATAAAATAATATAAAGATAAAATAAAGAAATTTAAAGGGGATAAAAATATAAAGGAGGAAAAAAAAGTAAACTTTATTATATTTTCTATATCCTTTTAAAAATTATTATAAGCTTTATCTATTATTAAATTTTTTAAATATATTATTTTTATAGTTTATTTATTATTAATAAATTAACCTATTCCTATTAACTTTATTAATGCTATATTTAGCTTAATGTTTTTAATATTTAAAGGATTTATATAAAAGTTACTTTAGGGTAACATTTCCTAAAATAAACTTAATATTAAAAATATTAATATTAGGGCTATAAAAAAACTTTTAAATAATATATTAAAAGATAGTTATTTAAAAAAAGTTATAGGAGCTTTATTTATTATTATTAATAAAAATTAAACTAATAGCTTTATAAAAGTATTAAAAATAATATTAATTATTAATAATAATATTAATATTTTTATATTTTTAAACTTAATTAGCTTTATTAATTTATATATTATATTATACCTTATAATTATTAAAATTAATAAATTAATAATATAATTAATTTAATATAAAGATTATACCTTTATTAATATAATTAATAAAATAAAGAAACTTACTATATTAAGGAATATAATTTATTATTTAATAAT